GCTGAGCCCACCAAAAGTCCCATTCTGCAAATGATGCTGCACCAGTTAAGTAATCCTCGACTTACGACCGGTTGAGTAGTCCTCGACTTACGACCAGTTGGGGGGTTGCGGCATTAAAAAGGTTGAGAACCATTGATCTAGGCCATATAATCATTGAAGTGCAGCATTGTTTAAATTTTAAAAAAAATCAGATACTGGGAATGGTAGATGCCCTTAGTTTATAGCTGGTCACGATGTGATCTACATTTTGACATGGGACCCCACAGTCCCACTGAGGGGAGGATACTGTGCCTCATTTATACAGTCCTGGCAGACACCATGTGAGGTAAGAATCCTATTCAGGATTGCCCATTGTTGACGTAGTAATTGAAAGCCTGGCATCTTTTTTTGTACAGTCATTTATATGTCTTCCTATGTCTGGGCGTTCAGTGATCTATTTGGCTTTTCGTTGGGAAGTGATGTTAAAGTTATTGGGGAAATGTTGTGCAAGTGCCAGGAGGGGCTTCCTGGATTTGAGTCTTCCTACTGGCATGCATAGGTAGATTGAGTTGTTCATAAGATGGAACAATATAGAGGGTGCAAATACAAAACCATCTGAATGTGCAAGTAGTCCTTCACTTACGATTACAATTGGGATCAGAATTTCTGTTGTTAAGCAAGGCTGCTGTTAAGTGAGTCATACACAATTGTAAGATCTTTTTTTGCCAGGGTTGTTAAGTGAATCACTGTGGTTATTAAGTAAATCTGGCTTCCCTCCTTTGCTTGTTAGAAGCCAGTTGGGAAGATTGGGAATGATGATCACATGACCCCAGGTTGTTGCATCTGTCGTAAATCCATGCTGGTTGCCAAAAGCCTGGATCATGTAACTGTGGGAATGCTGCAACAGTTATAAGTGCAAGTAGGTCACTTTTTCAGTGCTGTTCAAATGGTTGCTCAATGAATGATTGTAAGTCGAAGAACTACCTGTAACGCAGGGATGGATCAGTTTAGTATTTGGAAAGAAGCCCCATGGCTATTTGTTAGACCAGGAAGCTGAACAACATCCTGGAAGAAAGCATTGACAGAATTCTTCCATTACTGCTGCCAAGAATTGACAATATTTATATAGTTACCAGAAACTGAATTCAGCTAGAAGTCTATTTGTTATTTTTATTTTCCAGTTCCAGATCTAAGAATGTTCTATAAATTATAGTGCAAAAAGTTTAAATTTGTTATTAGGTGCTCAAGCATTTTGGCTGGGTTCATACCTGATGCTAATGCATAAGGCATTTCTTTTATTTGTGGTAACTCAATTATTTTGATGTATGGATCGCAGTTCATGATGTAACTTTCTTTCTCTGACCTTAAGCCACCTGGAGCTCCTCCCTCTCTTGTCTAATACTTTCCTAGGTGTCATCTCAAGGTCATCCACACAGTCCATGACATTGATAAGGGCTCCCCCATCAAGGGACTATCATCTTCAGAAATCCTGGGCTTTACCCTTTTCAGTGATGGTCTCACCTTTAGAACAGCTTACCGGAGGATTTCCAGATCACTCACATTTTAACTACATTTTCGGAATAAAAACATGGATGTAGGAGATGGCCAAGTTGAGCCTAAGGGGGTGGGGGTGGACGGTGTCAAATGAGTCAACAGTCTCAAGTCCTTTTGCACCTACAAGAAAACGAAGTCCAGCCCACCTTGAATACCATTAATATCTACCGCCAACTCGCTTTGACTGTTAGTAGTCCAGATTTTTGTAGAGAGCTTTAATATATATAATAAACCTACATGCATTCACTTGAACTGCTTGGACTTCTGATTTCCTGCAGTTGACAATGACTCTTAAGAAGGGAATTTAGGTACAACTAAGGCTTTGCTACCCTCAACAGTGATTCATGGACTGATTGATTTTCATTGCATCAACTGATTTTTGTTTTTAATCTTCTCCTTTTCAGGAGCAACTCAGAATCCCCACAAGTAATAAGAAAGTCACAAGTAGGAAGAAATAAACAAACATACAAAATAAATAAAATAAAGTTCCCTGAGTTTGGGCTCTGGCACAAGTCCAAACACTTGGAAGACTAAACCCTCTGATGCCGGTGACCAACCCAGATTGGATCCTGCAACATTATCCTGGGACCACGTATATTCGCCTTCATTCATCAAATAAAATCTGACTCTGTTACAAGATCATTTCCTGTGTGTTTGTTGAAAAAACATTACTGTAGGCTGTGTTCCTTAACCCAAGCCATACAAACCACATTATGGCTAGCTTTAAAACAATGTATCAGCCCAAGTGAGGTACCTTATAACATTCTTCCTTTGAATGAAATTTCTACGCATGAAAGACAATCAAATTGTGTAAACTATCGTTGGTTTACACCAAAGGCTAATTTCCTTCACCCAATGTTTCTCAAGCCTGGCAACTTTTAAGTTGCATGAATTTCAACTTCCAGAATTCCCCAGTCGGTATACAGGCCAAGGAATTCTGGGAGTTTACGTCGACATGTCTTAAAAGTTGCCAGGCTTGAGAAACACTGCTTTAGCAGAAACTTTGAGGCACTCACAAAGGAATGAAGGCAGCAACTTGCCTCAGTATCTGGTATCCAGAAATCCACATAGATGGCATGAACATCTTTCCCATGTATGTGCCTAACTCAGCTGTTCTGGGTAACTATAGCCAACATTTTGTGTAAGTAAAATCCCATGCAGGTTTGGGTTGGATATTTGGTATGATATGTTGCATGTTTAACAATACCGGTTGTACTCAGCCTACAACCATTCATTTAGTGACCGTTCGAAGTTACAATGGCACTGAATAAAGTGACTTTTTGGCACTTATAAAAGTTGCAGCATCCCCATGGTCACATTATCAAAATTCAGTTGCTTGGCTGGTTCATATTTATGATGGTTGCTATGTCCCAGGCTCATGTGATCACCTTTTGTGACCTTCTGAAAAAGTAAAGTCAATGGGAAAGCAAGATTCACTTAACAACCATGTTATTAACTTAACAAGTGCAATGATTCACTTAACAACTTTGGCAAGAAAGAACACAAAATGGGGCGAAACTCACTTAACAACTGTCTCACTTAGCAACATAAATTTTGGGCTCCATTTTGGTCGTTAAGTCGAGGACTACTTGTACTGTATGAAAGGGTATCCATAGTATGCTTATCTACTCCATGGCTGTTTTCTGGATGGAGGTGTGCAAAACGTCACCACTGTGCATTCATTTATTCATCACTTTTATTCATCCTCCCTGGCTCTCTGTGAGTTTAGGCATATGTTGTCATCCCATTTTATCTTGACAAAAACTGGACTGGACTGGAAAGGCAGGACTTAACCCAAACTGTAATGATTGACCCAAAGCTGAGGATGGATTTAACTCTACGACTGTTCTCTTCCTTTTGTGGTATAATTTGAAAGCTCTGCCTCATTTACAGCTGGAAGAGCGTTAGGGTAGGGCCGTACAAAAATAGGGTAATGCTTCAATTGCATAGATATGCCTGCCAACTGAGCTATTTTGGCACCTTCACTGCAGACACCCTAATTATTCAAGAAGCACACAATGGAGATTAACTCTGAAATTTCCCTGATCCATACGAAGATGTACAGCATGATTTTTTTAAAAAAATATTGTTCATATGACAGAATGCATCCCCTTTTACAGTTAACCTACTGTATAGAATGGGATTCTAGAGTGAACATGAAATGCTACCCCCCAGTTCACCAATTTGTACACATTGGCACCTTTTTTTTTTTCATTTCTCATCCAAAGCTAGCACTCTCTGTCATGTGTGAAGCCATTTGAGTGGGGCAGTCACTGGGCTCACACACTGCAGTGAAGGTAAAGATTATTTGTGTTTTATGAATCCAACAATTATTATCAATCTCTGACATAAATAGGCAGCATTGGCTCTGTGCCACCAGAAAAATCAAGTTCATGTTTTTTTAATAATATTTTTATTAATTTTCTAATTTTACATTTAGGTATTTAAAAAGCAATGTGGTGGTTGGGTTACTCAATAGTTCAATAACATACAAAAATCTTTAGTACAAATCTCAAACTACAACCTCAAATATTGCCTCTCTTTTTCCCTTAATATCTACTATTTTATATTTAAACTAATACAGTTTTTACTATATCAACTAAATAAAAACATCATTATTACATTTATCAATACATTTTTAATTTATACATATCTTAATTACTTTTATATTCAATCTTCACATTCAATCAATGTCCTGTTATTGGTTTTTCCCAATTTTTAGTTTAACATTTGATATTTATAATTTCCAGGTTTTAGGTAACCAAAGTTTCCTTCATCTCAATTCATAACAGAATATAATATTCAAAATGCACATCTTATCTATTTGGGTATAATCTTGTTCTATTTCCTAAAAGTTATCTATTCCCCCCCCCATCTTACACCATCTAATTAATAATACAGTATCTTCTTTAATAAATCAAAGCCCATTATATATATTATCTGAGTTAATCAATAAATAAATCAAACATATTCATTTTTTTCCTTTTGGGTCTAATTTTTAAGTATTAAACAAATAGCATCCTTATTTTCAACTAATTTCTAAATGTTTTAAATTTAATGACCAAATATTCCCTTATCTCAACTTCATCTTGCCTCTGGCCATTAGTTGCTCCTCTTTCAGTTGCAGAGTTTCCCCCTACCCTTTCTGTGTTCTTCCTTACCCCATCTCTCTCTTCCAACTAGAGGAGCTTATCACACTGGACTACTTCTGAAAAGTATTACCATCTCATTTTTGGAGCCATGGCATTATTCCGTTGGCTGTTTTCCTTTCTCGTGGTGCTGGTTTTGAATTAATTGTTGTTTTAACTAGCATCTTAGCATTAATTTAAAAAGTGATTGTCATGTGCTGTAAATAAATAACCGTGACAGACTATTTCTACAGGTATGAAGTATTGTGCATGACCTATTCTAAATGGGTGCATGAGGGTATGTGTGTGAGAGGAAATATTTGCTTCATGCGTTGGTGCTTGTGGATTGGTGATATGGAAGATGTATCCCAGTCTGTACAAAGCACCCATCCTCTCTGCTGATTGTTGCCCTGAGACCCTTTTTCATCACTTTCTCACTCCTGCACTGCCCAGTGTTGCTGCTGCTACCCAGGAACAGATCTCCATGGCAACAACACCCCCCTCCATCCATTCCTGCATCCTCCTCCCTTTAGCGTATAAATGACAAATCCGTCATCCAATCAACAACCTCAGCTGGCTGGGAGGGCTTTTCTCTCCATCTATTTCTCTGCTAGTGCAACCCAGAGAGCTGGATCTGAGGGGGGGGGGAGGAAAACACCCAGCTATCTTCCCCCTCATTTCTCTCTTTCCCCTTTTTTTCTCTCTTTCCTCCCTTCATTCCTTCAGTTGTCTTTTTTAGGTTTCCTTCTTTGCCTCTTCCCCACCCCTCCCTCTTCCCCCACACATTTGCTTCCCCTCCTGATCCCCATGTGAGATCACCTATTGTTACAATCCCTCCCCCCCAAAAAAAATCCTCTCATTCATTTCACCTTTGATATCCTTTGCCACCCTCCCCCATTTATTTTCCATCCCTCCTTTTCCTCTGTGGGCAACGGGCAACGAAGGAAGAAAATCCATGAGAATGAAAGGCAGGTAGCCGCGAGCCCAGCGGTAACACATCAACTTAAGGATGCGGGCAACACAGCCTCTTGGGCGCTGCGACCATTGTTCCTGCTGCCTCCTGCTCCATTCCATCAGTTCTGATGTCTGAAGCCTGTCCTCCCCCTGCTTTGCTGGGGCAGCCAATTTCTCTCCCTGTCCCCCTGCACCTGCGTCTTGAGACCCCTCCCAGCCTCCCTTCCCCTCCTTCCTGATCCATGATTCCAGACTATCCCTAAGATGCTAAGGCAAGGCCCTTTCCTTCTCTTGGCAGCGTCCATGTCGTATTTCAACCCGGAGAAAGCTTTGGCAGCGCCTTCAGAAAATGGTGAGTTTGGGCAGGGACAAGGGTTTCCTGGGCGTCCTTGCCAGCGGCCACCCCCTCATCCAATTTGCTCTTGTTTGCTGTTGCCTCTTGCCCAGCCATCTGCGGCCACCTGTTTGTGCAGCTAGGTGACTGCCTGGTGGACCTGATCCCCACCCCCTTCAGGGTGCCAAATGGGGACAACACTTGGATCAGGGGCTTCTTTCCAGACCAGGTGGGGAGGGGGCACCTGGGTTATAAATGCCATTCTCCAGAGACAGCTGGGATTCCTATACAGAGCAAATACATCAACCCTTTGATTTTGCCAGATGCCTTAAAGCAGCGGTGTTATTCCTTATCATCTTCTCCTGACCCTCCCCTGTTGTTAATGATAATCAGCACTGGAGAAAATTGAAGCCACTCCTTAAGGCTATCAAGGCAAGGCAGAAGTTATTTGGGAAAAGAGAGATATTTTTGCACATGATCCCTGAAGAAGGGTCCAGAGTCATTCCATGGTAATGGAGACCTAGGATAAATATTTGCATGCAAAGAAAACAGCTGTGATGGAGGAAGGAATGTCTGAGAGGTGGGTGTGAGATTTATGCCCGACAGGTTAGTGACATCCAGAAATGCCATCTGTGTTTGGTCTGACAGTGATCCATGGAAAGTGGGATGCACTCTTGACATAAGTGAAAAAATATTATGTGGGGCTCACTGAGGGCTTTGTGTAAGGATGGAGTATGGCTGAGATAGAGAAGATGGTGAAAAACTTCATGACTGGAAGAAGAGATGAAGGAATGCATAAAGACTATTTTGAAGAAGGATCAAATAGGAGATTAGGTGTAGAGATAATTTGATAGATATGGGCTGGTGGGAGGGTTAAAGAAACCATGAGTTCACTGGACATGGTGTTCAATGAGGCTTTGGCAGACCTGAGTTCAATCCACAGATTCACCATGAACTTGGATGATACTTTTGTGGTATCATCACATTCTCAGACTGTGTAAAATAGGTGCAATGAAGACTATCTTGATAGGGTTGGTGGTATATATACAATAACTAGGAAAACAATTGTCTGGCTACTGTCCCAAAAAATATGGTCCATTTAATGGATTTTGGGTCTGATCCACTGGTTCTTTACTTTCTCTGACATAGGAATCAAGTCAAATATTAATACCCAAGAACATTAGTTTTCAAATATTTGTACTCTAATCATTACCAAATATTGGTAATCTAATCATGCCTCAAAAACTCCAGAATGTTGAGGTATGATTGGATTATTAAAGGACTGTGAAATTGCCAGTTGCTTCATTCTAAGAGATTGCAGCATGTTTACTGTTGCAACAAGCTGGAAAGATTTTTTTTTTTTTTTTAGAATTTATAATCAAAGCTATTTCCACTCCCCTTTCTTAAAGGAATTCAGTCTGTCTGATGTATTACCCTTCTACTTCCCCACCTCTGTCTTGTCTTTCTTTCTTTACATCTGCTGACATAATACAGGCTGGAAGTTCAGAAATGTCATATTAGTTGCCAATGGCTTACTTGCTCTGATGTCAGAAAGGGCAGGCAGCCGTGGGCCAAGAATTAAGGATGGCATAGTAGGTTTTGCTCTGATGTTGTCTTCAAGAAGCAAAGGCTGATGATTCCCTCAGCCTTTTCAAATCTTAGCAAATCACTTAGAAGAAGCTAAGGCTTTATGAACCTTCCCCAATTTGATACCTTCTATTTCCCCTAATTTCCAGCCAGCAGACTTTTGAGGGTTGATGCCCATGTGTCTGTCCCATGACTATTTGAAATAGTGGGGTAGATGACAGCTCTGCTTTACTAGCAAATATTTCTTGTGACTAACTGCCAAGCTTTCACATAAGCAATAACAGAGACCTGTAGCCTGTTACATTGTCCTACACGAACAAGGTGAATTCTCATTTCTGGCATAACTTTGTCCATGCATAATGGAAAATCCAATGTAAGCAGCCAGACACCTCTGGTAATAGTATTCGAATATTAATCTTACTTCAATCAATAAAAAAATAAATAATATGCTTAGGAATAGATCATGGCATAGAAGATGGTCTCTAGAAATGTAAATGTGTGCCTAATTTTAGTACCATCTGATTAAATTGTCGTTTCTGTTTCCAAATATATCTCAGCTTCCTGGGAAAGAGAGGATGACATTTCCCCCCCCCCCCCAAAATAGAAGTCTATAGATTCCTTCAGGGCGATGGCAGGATAATGAAACAGTTTCTAATGACACATTTCTAATGTTTTCATAATGCTGTGGTAAAATTTGAAAATCTTATGAACGCAACTTGAAGTTGGTGCTTTCTGTTTGCGTCATTTGACAGACGGACGATGAGTGGTTAGAATAGGATAGAATAAAGCAAAGGTGGAAAGAGATAAAAGAATACAGAAAGAGCACATGAAAATTGACCAGTGAGAAAACTATCTGTATGATGGAGCAAAGGTTGTCGTCCACCTGGTTACAAGATTCAACCTTTAAAAAATGATTTTGGATCTTAAAAGAGATGACTCACTGTGCTAAAGTTAGAAGTGTTGGTGTAGCACAGGGTGTACCATCTTTATTACCTCAGAATGTCTCCAAGGGTGGATTTGAACTTTTGGGAAAATAAAGATGGTGGTGGGTTTTACAGCCACCAAGCTCAGAGCTTCTCTGCTACTCTAAGCATCTCCCTCTGCTGTGTACCATGGGCTAGTACATGTCCATGAAGTGGTAGGGACAAAGTTGAGGCATTCAACCTGGCACTCAGGAACAAAGCAATGAGTGAAATACAGGCAGTCCTCGGCTTACAACAGTTCATTTAGTGATGATTTAAGTTACAACAGCACTGAAAAAAGTTACCACCATTGCAGCATCCCCATGGTCATGTGATCAAAATTCAGACACTTGACAACCAACTCATATTCACAACGGTTGCCGTGTCCTGTGATCACCTTTTGTGACCTTCTGACAAGCAAAGTCAATGGAAAAGCCATTATAACAATTGTGTTACTAACTTAACAACTGCAGTGATTCACTTAACAACTGTGGCAAGAAAGGTCATAAACACTTACTTAACGAATGTCTCACTTAGCAACAGAAATTTGGGGCTCAATTGTGGTCGTAAGTCGAGGACTAACTATAACTGTATCAGTTACCACCAACTTTCATTGGTGAGGTAGAGAATAGAATGTTCAAGATCCCTAAAATTTACTATGCATCTTATATTGGCAGCCGGCAGAATACAAGGCAATATATAGTAGGCTTAGTCCAAGACATTTGTTTCTTGAAGTGAAGAATAAAATAACGCCCCACATTCAGTCATTTATTTGTTTGTCGTAATTACTTCACTACAAGTGACTCTGAATGGCCTTCAACAGAAATATAGATTAAAAAGATCAGAACAAACAGAAAACATAATGTAAACCATAATGTTGCATTTCAACAGAGGCAGGCACTAAATTTAATGTCGCCTTCTCAATGCTTTCTCCCATAACCAGGTTTCACCTCTTTGCAAAAGCTTATCAGGGAAGTAGCAGGCCATAAGTATGGGGGTATGTTATTCCACAGCCCTACGAAAAATCGTATTGATGGAACTCCTGAGGAGATAGGACCATCAGCATTGCCTCCCTCCCAGGTTTTGGGGAACGGAAGGCCATCACAGCAGTAAGCAACATTTGGGTCCATAATGGCCACAAGCACCATCTTCTGTCATGACTGCCCATAACACAGTAACTTAAGGAAGGCAGAGCTGGGAATTTTAGCCTCCATAGCCCTGTCTTCCGATACTTAACAGGTGCTAGCCTGACTTTTGCTACCTGAGACAATGTCCTCCCATTGTCCAGCAACAGAGTCAGCCTTGGAGTGGAAGGACCTTGTGGCTGAAACGGAAAATAAAAAGAGTATGTTGGTTAGAACATATATGCTAGCACTTTGAGAAAAGGAAGGAAAGAAATACTTGTGGGAATTTGTGGAAGTATGGAGTTAGGACAAGATTGTGTCATCGTCATCATCATCATCATCATCATCATCTTACTGTACAGGAAGTCCTCGACTTATGACCACAATTGAGCCCAGAATTTATGTTGAGAAATGTGTTAAGTGAGTTTTGTCCCATTTTACAACCTTTCTTGCTACATTTGTTAAGTGAATCACTGCAGTTGCTAAATTAGTAACATGGTTGTTAAGTATATCTGGCTTCCCCTACTGACTTTGCTTGTCAGAAGGTTGCAAAAGATGGTCACATGACCCCGGGGACGTTGCAACCATCATAAATATGGATCAGTTCTCAAGCATCCGAATGTAAATCATGTGACCATGGAGATGCTACAATGGTCATAAGTGTGAAAAATGGTCATAAGTCACTTTTTTCAGTGCTGTTGTAACTTTGAACGGTCACTAAGTGAACTGTTGTAAATTGAGGACTACCTGTATAGCTTGCTTTTCTGCCTTTCTGCAAGATAACACGAACCTGGAACCATAATCACTGAAATATAATTCATTAGATGAAAAAAAAATCGCTGTTCTTCCTAAAAATTTGTCCTCCATCCTTTTATCAGTTTGTATCTCAGCTTCTAATTCTGAAAAACAGGAAAGTTCACTTACTAGTTCAGAACATTTTAGATGGTCCTCAATCATATTACCTGTTCTTTCCCATCAGGCAAATATAGCTATGTCTAAATCAGGGGTCCTCAACCTTGGCAACTTTAAGACTTGTGGACTTCAACTCCCAGAATTCCTCAGCCAGCTTTGTTGAAGTCCACAAGTCTTAAAGTTGCCAAGGTTGAGGACCCCTGGTCTAAATGCTGTATTAAGATATGTGTCCTATTTCGCCCTCTCTCTATTCTCTTCAGATGGATTATCTCAGGGCCGGGCTCCCCTGGCCCCTCCCTATGCTGTGGTTCTGATCTCCTGCTCAGGCTTGTTGGCCTTTATCTTCCTCCTCCTCACCTGCCTGTGCTGCAAGAGGGGTGATGTGGGTTTCAAGGTGAGCTAGATGGCGGAGACGGGAGGTGGACATGGTGTGTTTTTGAAACAAAGATATTTTTTTTAAAAAAATGCCTTGGTCTACCCAATAGGAATTTGAGAACCCTGATGGAGAAGAATATTCTGGAGAGTATACACCACCTGCTGAGGAGACATCCTCCTCCCAGTCCATCCCAGATGTCTACATTCTGCCTCTTTCTGAAGTTTCACTCCCATCTTCCAGTCAACAGATGCCCAAAACAGGTAAGTTTTCTGAGGGAACCGGTTCATATTAGGGTTCCCCTCTTCGTTTGTGATATTTTTCCATATTGCCCTTGCAATATGAGAATTGGCAGCACTTGCTACCGTTTCTTGGGAGAATATACTAGTGTGGTTCTAAGCCGGCCATCTCAAACCTGATGTCCATTAGATATGTCTCCACTACCTGAATCTTGAAATGATGGGAGCACCAGGTTGGGGAAGGCTGCTTTAGACCTTGGCATCTTTATAATGAAAATAAAAGTAGCAGAAGAGTAGAAATCCATTCATAGGATGGGAATGTCTCTAGTAATTTATTATTTGAGCATTTGCTATGTCCTAACCTAGGATTCTAGCTGACCTGGTTTTACCTTGTCTTTCTAATTTGGACATTCACTGTCACTTTTGCATTTTCTTCCTCTTGTGGCACCTGCTGTTTCTTCTGTATAACTTCCCTTGTATTGTTTGTCTGTCACCTTTCTTTCTTGTCTTTCTGATCTCATCTACATGTACATTGTTGACTTTCCTGACCTACTGGCTTATGCAGCGATCCATCTTGATCTCTATATCTCCCTCGACTTCAAATCACTTTCATTTTGGAAGCCCCAGGAATCCTGTCCCCAATCTGCTTTAACTTTAACTGAGACCATCTTACCCTTTTCCATCTCATGAACACTTTCCCACATCCATTTCCACATACAGATAGGCCTCAACCTATGACCACACTTGAGCCCAACGTTTTTCTTGCTAAGCAAAATAGTTGTTAAGTGAGTTTTGCTCCATGCTACAACTTTTCTTGCCACAACTGTTAAATGAATTGCTGCAGTTGTTAAGCTAGCAACCAGGTTGTTAAGTGGATCTGGCTTCCCTATTGACTTTGATTGTCAGAGGGTCGCAAAAAGGGGATCACATGACCCTGGGGCACTGCATAAATATGAACTAGTTGCCAAGCATCAAAATTTTGATCATGTGACCATAGGGATGCTGCAATGATTGTTAAGCATAAAGTAAGTCCCTTTTTTCAGTGCTGTTGTAACTTCAGACAGTCACTAAAGACATGGTTGTACGTCAAGGACTATCTGTGATCTGTCTACAATGGTTTCTCGTAGACACACTATCTGGAGAACATCACATTATGGAAAACTGTTCTAGCTTATCTCACAACACAATTTTTTTTGATTTAATAGTTTTGGGGCATGGGGAGAGTCAAAATGGAAATAACTTTTAGCCTGTGTCCTCTGTGCAGCATCCTTGATTCCCATTATTGGAATTGCCATCTTCCTCTTTCAGATTTAGTGAAACACTTGGGTCTAAGTAGACAGCACCTCAGTTACCTGCAGGAGATTGGAAATGGCTGGTTTGGAAAAGTAAGTAAGAAAAATTCAGTTTTTTTGTGAATATGATTTAAGAATGAAATTCAGGCAACTGCTTTCATGCTTTGTAGCAAGAGTTGACTTGAATCCCATAAATAGGATAGGAATGCGCAACGTGTTGGCTATATGATGAAAATCATTCATTTATTGTGATTATTTCTAAACAACCTCTAATAAGGTTATAAAGATAACCTTGAGAGAGAGAAAAAAAACTTCCAGAATAGTTTTGCAACAAAAGGCAAGGGCCTTTTACACATGTGTGGAGTAACATTCTAACAATCAGTTAAAAATCAGCAGCCAAATAAAGAAAAAAAGCTCAATCATTAACTGCAAATTGCAAAATTTAATGCAGAAAGTAATGAAATATTAGGTCACAGAAAATATCCTAAAAGGAGCAAGAATTTCTTTCATTGTGAGTGAGAGTACTAGGCAACTTTTCTTTTTGACAAAGAAGGAACCATAATTTCAAAAATTTTGTGCCCAGCCTTTACCTGATAAGGCTTCTCCCAGTACACCCAGTGACGCAATGGGGAATGTAAATTGAGGTTTTGGATGGGAGATTGGGCCTTCCAAAGTTGATCACACAGTTTTTGCAGATTTGAACAGTCAAAGGAGAAGAGTAAGAAAATAAAAATTCATCCATTGATTTTGTTCTAGAGCCATTTTATTTTATAAAAATTAGAAAAACTCTACTTTTCCAAATTTTAATTTTATTTATTCAATTTCTATAGTCATCCATCTCAATCAGTGACTCTGGACAGCTTACAATCCCAAAAGTAAAAAAACAATTAAAACAAGAAACAAACATTTTAAAAACAGTGCAAACATTCATATTGCTCAGGAAAAATAAAAAAAATTACCTATTCAAAAACACGTTGGACCTGAATACTTTCAGGCATTCTTAAGCTGTTTCTCTTTTGCCTTCTTGTGTCTTCCTTTATTGCATCCCTTATAATAAAAGCAATTTTTCAGCCGCCCAGGAGCCAAGCTGTTTAGAGTTGTATAGATAATTAAATTGTACCTGGGAATCAATTGGCCATCAGTGAGTTCATTAATGACTTTAATGACTAATGAGATATGATCTACATAGCCAGTTCAAGTTAATAACCACATATCAGTAGTTCATAGTGGTTTCTCTTTCATATCCCCCCCCCCCTCTTTCCTAGGTTATTCTGGGTGAAATATTCTCAGATTTCACCCCTGCACAGGTGGTGGTGAAGGAGCTGCGTGTTAGTGCTGGATCATTGGAGCAGAGGAAGTTCTTGTCAGAGGCCCAGCCTTATCGGTAAGTAGCAGAACCTGATATGAGGATGAAAATTGAATAAGGAATCTCCATATGAAATACAGATAGTCCTCAGCTTACGACCACAAATGAGTCTCAAATTTATGTTGCTAAGTGAGACATTTGTTAAGTTTTGCTCCATTTTATGACCTTTCTAGCCATAGTTGTTAAGTGAGTCACTGCAGTTGTTAAGTTAGTAACAAGGTTGTTAAGTGAATCTGGCTTCCCCATGGACTTCTCTAAGTAGAGCTCTGTTACGGCTCAGAAATCTCTTTTCTGGCTATTAGAGGTGTTGGAGTTTGGGGATGCTCCAATGAGCTGCTAGCAAATTGTTGGTTATAACAGAGAGCACAGAGGAATTGTCCAAAAATAGAAGCAAGGATTTCCCTATGTATGTTATGATTCACTGAGATTCTTGTCCGGTCATCCAGAAATACTAGGGTTTTTTTTTCTCCTGCTTTTTCTGTATTTCTCTTCCCATGTCTCTACCTTGTCTTCAAGAAGCCTCCAGCATCCAAACATACTACAGTGCCTCGGCTTATGCACAGAAACTATACCTTTCCTCCTGATCATGGAATTCTGCCAGCTGGTAAGTCAACTGGAGCGTAACTGAAAATCAGATTTGAGAATGCCCAGAGCACCAGGACTCTGAATCTGGAGTAACCACAATATCGACACTCTAGGATAAAGTCTGTCTCCTTGTCATTGTGGTGCTAGTGACAACATTAATTTCCGTAGCCATTCATTCAAAATTGCTTTGCCCAACTAAATATCCATAGGGAGCTTGGCTTTCCTTGTAGGCAGCAGTTGTGTAGAATATTAATCTCATATTTTTCTTTAATTACATCTTACTTTTAAAACAGTGAGAAGCCTGCAATAACTGTGAGAAAATCACATCCTATACTGCCGATTTGCTCCTGATGACCATATTTGTGACCTGAAAATGGCAGGGCAAACTGTAAAACAGATTCTTAAGACCTTAAAGTTGGTGGGGTAATTATCAAATACCTTGTGTGGCTTTATTAATTTGAATAATGTAGGTCTGAGTGAGCCCAGTGCTTGCTATCTAGCTTCCAAATGGGCTTTGTGATGTTATGTTGAAAGAAAAATCTTCAGGTCCAGTCCAAGACGGGAATAAATAAAATGGAGGCTGTTTGGAAACAAGATTCTTTATTGAAGAACAGAACCAACAGCATGTGGTTCTGGGAAAGCTGACAAAATGGAGTTGGATTAGGTGGGCTTTTATACCTTCTTTGGGCTTTGTATTTGAGGTTCTTCCTGTTCCTGTGGCTTGTACTTTGACCTGAGCTTGAGTGTGCCCTTTTGGCATTCTAATGGTGGTGGGTTAATCCTATTATGTCCTAAAAGTCATGTCCTGCTTCTCTGGGGCTGTGGCTGAAAGCATTTTGCTTATGAATAAATGGCTCAGTCTTTCTGCATATAATTATCAAATCTGCATTTCTACAGAACTGGCTTCTGCCTGGGGGAAGAAGACTGGGGGCTGGTTTCTGCCTAAGATTTTTCTATTATTCCTTTGGGGAAATATAATATTCTGCCTTTTTAAACAATCCCCCAAATATTTCCTTTTCTAGGAGGATGGGTGCTGACTTCCAACAGTTACAACATAGTTCCAATCTACCTGGTTCTTTCGTTAAGTCAGTTTAGAATGAGGGCAGGATGTATAATATGGATAATGTGAGTTTTGAATGAGAATAAGAATATCTTGGATTCTTCAAAAATGTCTGGATAATTTGCCTAAATCCCAGACAAGATTACTAGATTTGGAAACTTGGTCACTTTCTTCTCTTGGTGTCCCCCCCCCACCTCCAGGGAGATCTGAAACGTTACTTGCGAGCTCAACGCAAAGCAGATGGAATGACTCCCGATTTACTGACACGCGACCTCAGCACATTGCAGCGCATGGCATATGAAATCACACTGGGAGTGCTACACTTGCATAAAAACAATTACATTCACAGGTAGGGATGACAGCTGGAAAGCTGTACTTTTGAAGCTTTGGGAAAGAAAGTGTGAACCAGGATGCGAAAGAAAGTGAGGAGAAGGTGAGATTTAGAATTTCAGGTTCTCCCTGATTGAAGTTACTGTGATGGCTTAAAATGGAGGTTGAAAACTTTTGGAGACTTCCAAGGGCCTGGTCTGGGTAAAGGATGAATAAAGGTGTGAACTTTCCTATGGGTAGAAACCTGCTGGGCCATTATCATGCTATGTCACTATAGTTTTGTCTAAAACAGAGGTAGGCAACCTTGGCTCTTTTATGACTCGTGGACTTCTGGGAGTTGAAGTCCACGAGTCATAAAAGAGCCAAGGTTGCTTACCCTTGCTCTAAAAAATATAACAGAAAAGGGGTGGTGTGGTGGTTAGGATAATTAAAGCATTGATCAATTTTTTAAAATCAGAAATCAGGATCAAAAAATGAGAAGCCAAATGTTATAACAAAAGTGTTCGGTAGTTTAAATATGAATATTTGTTTGCTTGTATATGGTTACTTCTCCCAAAGTACAAAGAATACAGTAAGGCTCCTGCCTGGGGGAAAACCTTCTTGTGATGTAAAATATATCATGGATATCATTAAAAAAAATACTATGGAATTTCCTATACAGAATTCCAGCTTTAAAAAAAATCATGTGTAGTGAGGTCTGTATGTGAGTATTCATCATTAAGCAGAAAGCTTGCTTGGATAGCCACTAATTGCTAAACTGGATTCTGAATGGTCTGCTATGCTATGGCCCTCCTCCTCCTCTTTCTCCTCCTTTGGCAACTCTAAAATACATGGGCTTCAACTCCCAGAATGAAGTCCACAGCTCTTAGAATTGCCAGGATAGAGAAACACTGTTCTAATCACTTATACAAATCAGGATTTTTAGTATATTGTTCAAATCCAATATTCTGCTTTGTTCATTTTGCACGCCAGAGTTTTTATACCAAAATCAGGTTTTCATTTACAATCCTGTCTGTAAAGAACGCATCAAGCAAAGAAGCGGGGTTTGTGTGATCACTTAAACAAAACATCCCTACTTTATTTTGTCCAGGGCTTGGGAATCTGAAGCCTTCTGGTATTATTGAGAAAAATAGTCCCAATATCCCTCACCACTGATTATGATGGCTGAGTTAACTGGGAACTCTATTTTAACAATATAAGGAAGGCCAAGATTCTGGTTAGAGAGCCAGTTTAGTTAGTGGTTAAGGCATCAGGCTAGAAAGCAGGAGGGTGTGAGTTCTAGTCCTGCTTGGGCAGTGGTTCTCAACCTTTTTAATGCCGCGACCCTAACCAGTCGTAAATCGAGGACTACTCAACCGGTCGTAAGTCGAGGACTACCCAACCGGTCATAAGTCGAGGACTATCCAACCGGTCGTAAATCGAGGACTTTCCCTGCCCGGGAGCGCCACACATGCGTGGTGCCGCCCCTGTGCCAGCCGAGGCATAGCTGGCAAGCGGCAGTGACAGCGCAGGCCGACCACCAGCTAGGCCACCAGCTGGCCCAGCCCAAGGGAGGTAAGGCACCCGCCAGGCCCCACGTGCGGCAGCAACCCTCCCTGCGCCCGCCGGCCTCCCACCTCCCACCCCTGGCCCTCTTTTACTTACATTTTTAGTAGTTGCTCAGCAGGGAGGGGTGGAAACTTCCAGACAGCTCGCCTTCACTGCAGACAACTTGCAGCACCGTTTGCAGAATGGGACTTTTGGCGGGCTCAGCAGGGCAGAGACAGCCTGGACAATTCCTATTGGCTTTCAAAAGCCAATAGAATAAAAGGGAGTAGCACAGCTCAGGAAAAGGGGAAAAAAATGGCGGACTGCATTGTTTGGCGACCCCCGTGAAATGGTCGTTCGACCCCAAATGGGGTCCCGACCCACAGGTTGAGAACCACTGTGCTTGGGCATAAGGCTAGCTGTGTGACTTTGGGCCTGTCGCTCTCTCTGAACCCTAGGAAACAGACAATGGCAAACCACTACTGAAATCCTGCCAAAAAACCGTGCAGGGACTAGTCCAGGAGTCAGTACTGACATAAAGATACCAAAATAAATAAATAAATTCTAGTCAATCAGCCAAAATCCTAGGAAGAGTTAAGTAAATAAACAGATCACATAATATGATTCTGCAGAATCCTGCCTTACCATTCAAGGGAAACCCAGCCTTTTTAATCCTCATAAGTTAATGTGAGGATAAAAAGGTGCCCTCTGAATTTTTTATGGCAGCATGGGTTTCCCTTCCCCCCAAAAAACCTCCCCCATAATGAAAAAAACAACAACTTTTATCCTTACTATGTATAATATAATATAAGAAAGGGTGAAAAATGAGAGTCTCTCTTCTCACCTAACTCAAAGTCCTCTTGTCCTCCACAGTGACCTGGCACTTCGGAACTGCTTGCTGACCTCAGATCTCACTGTGAGGGTTGGGGATTATGGCCTGTCACACAACAACTACAAGGTATGTGGTGAAAGTACCACAAAGAATCTAAGATAAGTCTCTCAGAAGTCTTAGGCAACAGATAGATGTGGCAATATATTCTTTGCAGAACATTTCCAATCCATTATGAAATTAAACTTCCTGTTCTTTTTTAAAGGAAATTATTATGAGCCATTTAATTTAGAGCAAACTACTATATAATATTGCATCGGCCTTAAAGGGAACTCTGTAATGGACGAGAAGCAGAGCATCCAGGACCTATGAGATGTTGGGATGTTGAGTTGTCTATTCTCATTTCTGTTTCATAGGAAGATTATTACATCACTCCGGACCGGCTCTGGATCCCTTTGCGTTGGGTTGCCCCAGAGCTGTTTGATGAGATGCATGGAAATGTGATTGTTGTAGATCAAACCAAGGAGAGCAATGTTTGGTGAGTCCCAGGATAACTCTTGGACTGAAGAAATTTAATTTGTATTCTCAAGCAGGGATACACAATCCAGCTGGGCTAAAGCTGAAATAAACATTTCCAGGCCCACAAGGAAATGGTCCTCAGCATTCATCCAGTGCAGGCATCCTCAGTAAGACACAATGATGCCACAGTGATGACATATGCGCATAGATGTCAACATGGTAGATTTAATATTTATACAAATAAAAGGAATAGATGAATGATAATGCAAATGATGAATAGGTAAACCATGACTTATTTCCTTTAGCAGCCATTCAAAGTTGCAACGGCATTGAAAAAAGTGACTTATAACCGATCTCACACTTAAGACTATTGCAGGAACCCCACAGTTAAGTGATCAAAATTCGGGCGCTTGGCAACTGGGATGTATTTACGACAGTTGAAGCATCCCCGGGTCATGTGATCTCCATTTGCGACCTTCCCAGCTGACTTCTGACTAGCAAAGTCAGTTGGGGGGGGGGAAGCTTGACGATCACATGATTTATTTAACAACTGCAGTGATTCTCTTAACAGCTGTGCCCCCCCCAAAAAAAGATTGTAAAATGGGCATGGCTCACTTATCCACTGCCTTGCTTAGTAATGGAAATTCTGATCCCAGCTGTGGCCATAAGTTGAGGACTATCTGTATACAATGCAAAAATATAAGTGATAGCATTTGTATTATTATACAGGTTTTATTATTTATCACTTGCCCCCCTTACAGAAATCTAAGTATTGAACTAGTTATTTTGAACCACCCCTCACAATCCTTAATGATGAATGTTTTTTTATTTAAGCAAGTGATTTTTCACCTTTCCCTTTCTTTCCTATTTTGTCGTAAACAAACAAACAAACAAACAAACAAAAAAACCAGAGTTTAGCAAGGAAAACCTTGTAAGTGGTTTGACTGCCATGTTCCTTTACTCTAAAGAAAACCCCTCCCGTGTTGCTGGCCAAATGGACATGTTTGAAATTATATTATGGCTGCTCCTTAGAAATGGCTGGGGGAGAGCAGTTGCCTATTTACCAGATGGCTGATTTACCCTGCCAATCTTCTCAGTCTCAACCCCCAAGCTCTGGATTGCCCATAATCACAACGGTCCCTTTTCTGGGTAGATGGCATTTGTCCAAAACAAAGGACTGTGCAGTGTTGCTAATCAAGATTATGGGCCGCAACGGGAATCCAGAGAGAGTCCTGGAAATGAAGATGATGTTAGAGGCTGGCGCTTTGCTTTGCAACTTGCCAATTTTCTATTTTTTAATTAAAGCTGTTATTTTAATGTAACCACCCGGGAGAGGAATCTTGCCAAAAGAGGTTTGTGGACGCACTGATGCCCTGAGGTACCAGCTATAAAGCCTGGTGCACATGAGATTTATTTTAGGTTGCTGTCCTTTACCAGACACCAGAAAAATATGCTGTTGTCAATTATGCTACTCCCACGGCTTAAATGAGCCTCAGCAACAAGGCTGGGGGATAATGTTATTCTTATAAATGTAGAGTAGAAGAGTTTCAAGGCAGTGATGGTTAGATTTCTCTCTCTCCTCACCTGGCAGTGTGAAAATCAGCCATCAACTAAGTTCATAATGTGTGGCTGGAAGAGGATGGGACTTTGGAAACATCTGGTAATGGTGGCTTAGCTGAAAGTTAGTTTTCCACAAGGATGTTAGATATTCCTAATATATACAGTACACGAATACACTTCACACTCATAAGTATGGCCTGAACCAGTAATCCTTGACCTACAAGTGACCATGTGAAATTATAATGGCACTGAAAAAAAGTGACTTACAACTGGTCCTCGCACTTACAACCGTTGTAATGTCCCCATGATCACATCAAAAATTGGGCACTTGGCAAACAGCATGTATTTACAATGGTTGCAATATCCCAGGGTCATGGGATCACCATTTGTGACCTTCCCAGAAGGCTTCAACAAGCAATGAGGCAAGCTGTATTTGTTTAATGATCATGTGATTAATTTAACAATTAAGGTGATTCACTTAATGACTACAGCGGTAGTCATCATGCAGTATTTACAGATACGGTGTGAGTCACACGCCGTATCTGTAAATACTGCATGATGAATGCAATGCGGGCACCAGCTGGCATGAGCCACAGCACCCGAAAATGTTCCACATATTACACAAAATAGCTGCCTCTTCCTAATTAATCGAAACAGTGAAATGTGTGGTCACACAAAAATACTTGACCACAAAAGAAATTGAATATCTGTCTTGCTTTCCTTTCAGACCTAAACTGCTGGCAGGATTTGACTCTTTTCCCCAGATTAAATTGATTGGATTGTTCCTGCACTTTTCTAAGAGAGAGTTACAGCTTTTTTCCAAGATTGTTAAACATGTATTTGAAAAAGAGGTGCTCTGCTCTTCCTGAATATTAGTAGTCTGTGGAAATGAGGCTCTCAGCATTTCCCAAACCATATTTGAGGCATTCAAGATCTCTCTCTCTCTCTCTTTCTCACCTCCTATCATCTCTCTCTCTCTCTCTTTCTCACCTCCTATCATCTCTCTCTCTCTCTCTCCCTCCCTCCCCCTCTCTGTTTCTCTATCATCTATCTATCTATCTATCTATCTATCTATCTATCTATCTATCTATCTATCATCATCCATCCATCCATCCATCCATCTATCTATCTATCTATCTATCTTACTCTATATATCTTTCTGTCTCTCTTTCTATCATGTCTCTATCATCTGTCTATCATCATCCTCTCTCTCTCCCTCTCTGTGTCTGTCTGTTCCTCTCTGTATCTATCTATCTATCTATCTATCTATCTATCTATCTATCTATCTATCTATCTTTTTCTGTCTCTCTTTGTATCATGTCTCTATCATCTGTCTATCATTATCCTCTCTCTCTCTCTCTCTCTCTCTCTCTCTCTCTCTCTCTCTCTCTCTCTCTCTCTCCCTCCCTCTCTGTGTGTCTGTCTGTTCATCTATCTATCTATCTATCTATCTATCTATCTATCTATCTATCTATCTATCTATCTATCTATCTATCTATCTATCTCTATTCAATTTCTATAGCTTCCTTCTCAGTCAATGACTCTGGGCAACTTACAATTCAAAAAATGTGTATTACGATTAGGGTATGCCCACAACAGCCTCAAACAGCTGAGACGAGCTGGGGTAATCCCAGCCCTTGACTCATTACTGCTGGCATTATAATCAGTGTTATCATTTGTTCGCACAGCATTGTTTGTTCACATAGCAAAGAGGATTTTCCCCTCCATCTTGATCTCCTTGTGTTCTTCGCAGGTCAATGGGAGTGACCATCTGGGAACTGTTTGAATTCGGCTCCCAGCCTTACCGGCATCTTTCCGATGAGGAGGTGCTGACTTTTGTCATCAAGGAGCAGCAGATGAAATTGGCCAAACCTCGCCTTAAGCTTCCTTACTCAGACTATTGGTGAGTTCTTCCTTGTTAGGGAAACAAATCCATCACCCACCTGAAGGATGCCATCAGCCCAGGCTCCTTCCAGAGGCATCCAGTAGAAGCCACAAAGACATCACAAGTGCCGTTACGTCACTGTGCAAATGATGTGTGTACAGATAGTCCTTGAGTTGCAACTGGTCATTAAGTGACTGTTTGAAGTTATGATGGACCTCACCAAAAGGTCCTTTGAATCCAGTTCCAAGTTCTAGCAGTCAGGCTTTTCCCCAGGATCATGTGACCGCATTTTGGGCGCTCAGCAACCGGCCCACATTTACAGCTGTTTGTGGTATCCCTTATGACATGACAATGATTTACAATGTTTTTTGCCAAACACTGGTGTTTACTTCTGGTTTTCAGCAAAAATGCTCCATTGCTATTGCTCTCTATGGAGCATTTTTGCTGAAAAAACACTAGCTTCATAGATTCACTTAATGACTGCCACAAGAAAAGGTTGTAAAAATGGTCAGTCACTTGGTGACCCAGTTTATAATTGTCATGATGTATGACTGTAATTGGCAGCATCCATTATGGTTGTCAGTCAAGGACTACCTGTCCCGTAGGGGTTTTTTAAAAAGGCAGCTAGACTTGTTTTCCTTGAAGACTTTTCATTTCTCATCCAAGAACTGAGAATTGAAGAAGCTTCTTGGATGAGGAGCGAAATGTCTTCAAAAAAAAAAAAAAACCAAAGTCCAGTTGCCTTCTGGAAAAGCCTCTTTGGGACAACCATGATCTGGATGATTAAGAATCTCCACAGACATCAAGAGCTAACTGTATACACAATTTGCATCGTTTGTATCATGACAGCTTGGCAGACACAGCTTCATTTGCCCCACCCTATCTTCCACCTTGCAGATGTCACTGTCTCCTTCATCTTTGACAGACATTTATTGAGGCTTCATGGACAGTTTGTGGTCTGGGATATTATCCTTAAACTTTATGATGCTTGCCTTAGCATTCTTATTTCTCCTAATGTTCTTCCATTCTCCCCTCTCTGTATTCCTCTGACTCTTCCTCTATCCATCCATTTCTCTCTCTGCACTTTCAGTCTGGCCAGGCTTTTTTCAGCTATGACTTTTCTTTCCATTTTATTTTCCTTTTCCTGTTCTTCCTAGCTCACGTTAGCTAATTGGTTGTCTGCAGCTTTCTATTTCTGTCAGCAATTGTCTGAGCTGCTAATTTGGGCTGAAGATTTCCTTTCAAATGTTTTAAATATTTTTCTAGTATCATTATTATTAATATCTCACCATAACATATGGTGCAATCCTATAAAAAAAACAGGAAAGGAAGAACGCAATGAAACAATATAAAAAAGGATTTTTTAAAAAAAAATAGGTGTTCTTTCTATTGCAAATATTATTTTTACCCAGAATCAAATAATATTTTTTTTTTGTGACACAGAGACCTATTTTCATACAGATAGCACGAGAACATGCAGTGCTCGTGAAGAACCCCCTAAACAGAATCTGGTACTTAAATTTACAGGACTTATAGATTATCATAGTTAAACATATCTGAGTATTATGTAACTCCCCAAATTTGAAATTTGACTTAAAATAAAAATACACAATAATTACAAATCAAAGCCAAGATTGTTCATTATAAAACCATCATATATACTAAGGGTCAAATATTCCAAAACTTTTTAAAAAAATCTTTATTCATCCAGAGGGATAGTCAAGGTTAGTGAAATTTTAAATCATGTCCTTCATTTTAAAATTAAATATTTTAAATGAGTGAAAAGCAACAAGACAGGGAAATAGTGTGGTCTATGCAATTGCAGATTGGACTACAATTGGACTGGGTTCAAGGCCATAAAAAGTCCTTGAGTGACTTTGCATCAATCACTTTCTTTCAACAATGTTGTTGTGGAAAAAAAATAGAGGATGAGGTGTGATATATAGTATCTCAAACTCCTGGAAGAAAAATCCTGAGATATAAATTAGACAAATTAAATAAAAGTGTGATGCTTTCCATAAAAAGAACTAAGTAATTTTGTAGCCTTTTCCCTTTCTGTGAAACTCTGTTTTGAATTAGAAGTCTATCTACTCTCCCTATGCATCCATGGAGTGCACCTGTTTCTTTTTCTTTTCTTTTTTTTTTTACAATTTTTTAAATTTTATTTCCAAAATTAAAATACAAAATAAAGAAAAGAAAAAGAAGAAACAACCATCAAACACTAATTAAAAAATGTGTACAAAAAACAACAAATGACAAGTACGGTATATTGTTCACACTGATATTAAATATAAAAAGTTCATCCTGATTGAATGCTGAAAATGCATATCAAAAATATCTGATGCATTCTCTTCCTCTTGTAATATAGGTCAATAAATAATCAAAAACTTTCCCATCCATATTTAATAAAAATACTATGTTACATACTGTAAAAAGTTGCCCCTGATGCAGAAATCTATTTATCTATCTATTCAATTGATGCAGCATTTGTTTGCTATATAAAAAAGCAGTCAACAACAAGTAACCCCAAAAATAAAACTAATGTTCAAAGCCAGTGTTAGCCTTGTCTACCTTTCTTATTATTCTAAGGGCTTTGCATGCTATATGCACACTGCCCATTTAGGTGGTTTATGATTCAGTGTCTTTTCAATGGATTTATGATATAGTGCACTCCACATAAGGTTACCTTAAAGAGTATCTGATGCAGAATGCAACTGCAAGGGCAATTCTGGGTGCCCCAAGGACTGTATATGTCACACCTTTGCTGTGTGAGCTGTATTGGGTGCCAGTTTATTTCTGGGTCCAATTCAATGCATTGGTTATCACCTTTAAAGCATGGGACCAAGTTACCTGAAGAATTGTTTTATCCTAATCACACTGTCCTATCCCACCCAGTCAGGCATGGAGGTTATGTTACAGACCCTGTCGGTTAAAGGTCTCCAACTGATAGGGTCTATTAAGAGAGACTTCACTTGTGTTGCTCCTGTCCTATGGAATATCTTACCCCCAAAAATGAGGTTGGTCTCCATTTTTCTGGTTTTTCAAAAGAGTGTTAGGTCCTGGGCTCCAAATTCACATGGTATGGTGGAACCACCAGCTGAAGGAAAGGAGGCTCCAGTTGGAAGGGGAGGGGCGTTAAAAGACATTCCAGCTTAGAGTCCATTGGGGGAGGAAACATTTTAAGCCAATATTTCTGCCATTTCTAAAGGGTAGGCAGATGATCTGGCAAGTTTCTTGTAAACTGATGATCAAAAATAAAGAAACCCACTTGACCCATTCTTGAAGCTGTTCCAGTTGCTTGCATCTGACACATGGGGATTGTGGAATGTCATACAACCTTGGTGGTAGTTGGTGCCTTGAGGGCTCCCTCTGCTATCTTTTAGCTTTGTTTTTTCTTCTTTCTCATCCCATTTTAATTGTATTTTCATTGTATCTTTTTATACAGCTTTAAAAGTTTTACCCATCAACTGCCTAGATCCCTTAGATAGTGAGATTGGCAGTGCCTAAATTAGACACAGACAGAAGTTGACAATCTAGAAAAATTGATTGATAGAATAGAATAGAATAGAATAGAATAGAATAGAATAGAATAGAATAGAATAGAATAGAATAGAATAGAATAGAATAGAGCTGGAAGGGACCTTGGAGGTCTTCTAGTCCATCTCCCCTGCTCTAGCAAGAGACCCTATGCAATTTGAGACAAGTGACTGTCTAGTCTCTTCTTAAAAACCTCCAGTGATGAAGCACCTGCAACCTCTGAAGGCAAGCTGTTCCACTGATTAATTGTCCTCACTGTTAGGAACTTTCTCCTTAATTCCAGGTTGCTTCTCTCTCTCTCTCTCTAGTAATGCACTGTGTGAATGAAACTCTTGTGCAGCACCTAAAAGAGTTGAATTGCAATATTCATCTTCTTGTGGTTTAGGGAAAATGGGCCACACAATTTGAATTCTAGAATCATTGAGTGTAAGAGGGAAAAGGGAACTTGAAGATCTAGTCCAACCATCTGCCTGGTGGGATAATATACGTTAGTGATGTCTACAGGTGAAAGTTCCTTTGGGCTTGGCACAGGGTTAGGATTGCCCATAGAAAGTGCTGAGATGCTGCAATGATGCTTATATCACCTTGATCTTCCTGCTCTTTCTTCCCCCTATCCCCCACCTCGCCCCCAAGGGTTGTGATTAACTTCAGCATCTCTACCAGATGCCCATTTGCTCTCTGTTTAGGTTTGGGCATGCTCCTCTTAATAAGATTAGATGGGCCAATGATTTAATGCCATATATAGCAGCTCTCCTATGTTAGATCAATTCTCCAAGATCTATAAATGGTCTGCATTTCCAGCTGTTCCACTCCTCACCCATTTTTCTCTCCTGATGTCACAGCCATTCTCCTTTCATTCTTGGGACTGAGTATTCCCATCCTCTTGTACTCCTGAATGACTTCAGAATGGTGTTTCGATATGCTCTGCTTCATTTTTTTATTGGGTTGACTCTTTGTCCCTACTTTCTCTTGTTATAGTAGTCCGTTTCTTTCTAATTTGGCATATCTGTTTCTATCTTTGCTTTTTCTTTTGCTACTCTGTAAGGGTGTCTAATTCTTCCTTTTTTTCTAACTGTTCTTTTGCAACAGTCTTTTTTTTTTTTTTTTTTTGCTTTGTTTTAAATGTTCCTAATCCCCACTGCCTCCCCTTAGCTGTCCTTTCAGGCTATCTTCCCACAACTGTGTTTTTTTTCCTCCTATTTCTGCCTGTTTTTCCCACTGTTCCTCTATCCTCCTTCCAACCCTGCCCCACTGCAGGTACGAGGTGATGCAGTCATGCTGGCTACCAGCTTTCCATCGCCCAACTATGGAAGAGCTGCACTTGCAGGTGAGCTACCTGTTGAATGAGCGCTCCAATGCTCAGGCAGAGGAGAGTTTTGAGTGGCGCTGGAGTGCCCTGAAACCTATGCGTTCCTCTTCCCCACCGCCGGCCTCCTCTTCTTCAGCACGCCATCACTGCCCATCAGAAGAGATCTCAGCCTACCCACTCCTGGATGGATTCCATGGTGGAGACATGGATGACATTCTGACTGTGACCGAAAGCAGTGGAGGGCTGAACTTTGAATATATGTGGGAGAAGGCCCGGCTGGGGCGATGGAAGAGCTCTGCCTCAGCACCACCCGAATACCCCTCCAGCAATGGTGGGCTAGCTGTGCCTGTCAGCAACCCTTTCTATGAACAGGCAGCGCATCGTGGGCACAGCCTGGAGACGCCCAGCGTTGTGCCTGTCATCAGCGCCCGCAGCCCTTCCGTCAGCAGTGAATATTACATTCGCCTGGAGGACCATGGTAGTGGTGAGGGGCCGGTCTGTGCCCCCAGCCCTGGTTCAGCACCACAGCCCCTCTTTCCCTCCGATTGGGATTGTCACAATGCCCCCCTTCGGCCACCCGAGCAGTCCAGTACTAACCCTTTCTTGTCTGGGGGCAGCAGTGAAAGCAATCCTTTCCATGTAGATGGTGAGATCCAAGAGACGTCACTGACAGAGACACCAACCACAGAGGGTGAAGCATTCCTTGCAGAATCCCTACTCACTGTGTATCGTGAGTTGGAGGATCAGCAGCGTAGCTGGGATGCTGAGATGATGGAAGAACGAGGGGCCGGAGAGACACTGGCTGGGGATCCCTCAGAGTTCCAGGGGTCACCTTCCTGGGAACAGGAGCCTTCCCTGATGGAGGACCACAGTTCTGGCAGTAGCACTGATGATGGTGGAAGCAGCATTGGAGGAGGGCGGCGCAAACTTCTGCCCTGTCCCCTGTGCACTAGGGCGCGTTGCACATGTGCCATCCCTCGAGGGGATGTGGTAAGCAGTTGGAGCAACCATGGCCCACCTTTGAGGCGTCCTCACCGGGATAGCTATGGCACTGAGGACGACTCCTCACTCAAAGTGGAGAGGGGCTCCCTATCTGACTGTTCTACAGTACCTCCTAGAGACTGTGATGGAGATACTGGGGAGCACAATGAATTTTATGACCCACTTATGGGCACAGTTGTGAAGACCTATGAACTTCAAGATTACCCAAAGCAGAGAGGTGGGGGAAACATCCGTCCGCCTGGGTCACCCTTTCCAACTATGTCATCCGGGTGCTGCAATGTGATTGTCCCTGTAGAGATACCACCATTATCTACTCTAGCTGAGACTAATGATGAGGAGACTATTGCAATTCTCCCAGAAGCTGTTGATGGATTTTCAACTGGCCCTGCAACCCTGAGCCTCTCCCCAGCAGCACCTGATCGACAGAGAGGAACCTTAGACTCTGTAGATTCCTTGGACATTCCTTCTAATACGAGCTCCTCAGATGTCTGCAGCCCAGCCTCCCACTACTCCTCTCCAGGACAAAAATTTGGGGACAGTGGCTATGAAACAGAGAGCACCTTTTCACCTGAGTTCATATTTAAAGAGGAATCACCTCCCTCACCTTCTGGAGAAGAAGAAGAAATAGAAGCAGAGGATGGTCCTGGCAAAGTCCCAGCAACACCCATCTCTCAGTCCACTAGCGATCTTACACTCTCAGTGAGCGAAGAAGGGACCGAACTTGAAGAAGAGGTAGGGAGGAGCTTGGGGCTTACAATCCCTCACCGTGATTCTGCTTACTTCTCTGATGGGGAGGCTGAATCTTCTGAGGCACCACCGATTGTAACCAGAACTGAGGAAGAAAAGCCTTCAGAGAAGACAATAGTAGATGGAGGCTTTGTGGTTCAGGTGTGCAAAGAGCAGTTGTTGGTCACACTGCAAGAGAATGTCACACGGAATCTACTTTGCAGTCAGAAGGTACCAAAATTGAGCTTTTCACCAATTGCCTCCTTAAAAGACCAAGCCATTGTCAAGCTTTGGAGGCTGGAACCAGAGGAGACACGGCAAACTGTGGAGGAGGAAGAAAAGGAAAAAGAAAGAGGAGGAGAAGAAAAAGAAGGAGTAGGGAGAGGAGAAGAAAAAGAAGGAGAAAGAGAAAGAGAGGAAGAGGAGAATGAGGAAAAAAGCCACCTTGAGAAAACAGTGCATTTCCAGTGGTTAGAAAGTGTGGAAGATAAAGAAGAAGAAGAGGAGGAGGAGGAGGAGGAGGAGGAAGAAGAAGAAAAGCAGCAGCAGCGGAAGCAGGAAGGAACTGGAGAACCTGAAGAGAAGCAGCTTGAATGGAAGGAAGAAGAAAGGAAGGAAGGAGAGAAAGCTATTCATACTGAGATACAAAGTGAACCCATGGCCAACATGGAACAATCACAAGAACCTCAGGAAGACACTTATGTAGCAACTGACCAGCTCAAAAAAGAGCAGGAGCCTGGGGTCCTTGTAAATCAAGCCAATGAAGACATCAAAGGTAAAATTCTACAATTCAGGATGGCAGTAACAGGAAGACAGGGTGACTATGTAACAAACAGGATGGAAAAACATCCACATGGCTTAAAATTACGTAGGCTGAGAATCACCAATTTAATGGGAAAGTGGGAGAGGCCAAGCATGTGGTGGTGGGGAGGATTCAAGATGGTGATTTAAGCCACATTATTAAATCCCCAATTCTTTAATATGCAGTTCATATAAAAAGGGGCAGAGCTTTGATGGCACCATTGCAACCACCATTATGACTTACTTTACTGCTTCCCATCAATGTCTTTGGCAGTGGTTCTCTGGAGCAGGATCAGCGTCCCATGAGGCCCTCCTCTAAGCTTCAGAATAAAATCTTAAATGAAGAAAGGGAAGAGTTAATACAGACTTCCTCCAAATTATGAATATCCTGGGGACACTGACTAGGAATTGTTATTTTATTTTATTTTATTTTTATTATTTTTATTTTATTTTTTATTATTTTTTATTATTTTGATTTTTTTATTTATTCAATTTCTATACCTGCCCAACCCAATCATGTGAATCTGGGAGGCTTACAATTTGATGCAATAGTCCAGTTTTTAATTTTACTTCTTTTGTTTGCTAAAAAGCATCCTCCCCCCCCCCAAACTACATGAACACCACCCAAAGTCTTGGCAAACAACTTTTTTGTGTGTGGAGGGCTGTTCTGCTAATTGATGTATTTTTTTTTACAAAAAAATCTAATTTTGAACAGAGTTGGGTTTATAGACAATGTCACAAACAGTAAAAAAAAAAAAAAAACCAACCAATTTGGGAGTCTAGATTCTTTTAGCTGCTTTAATTAATTATTAATCCAACCATGATCAACATAATTTGATCCATAGTGTTAAATGGCAAAAAGTAATTAGTTACAGACATGATTATGAATTTGTTTTGCTGTCAGCTTTTCCACGGATACTAGTTGTTTGCAGGCCAAGAGAGTTTGGTAATCAAATTAGAGTAAGCCACTCATTTTGAACTGATACATGTGGCAGGTCATATTAGGTTATATGTGGGCAAAATTACAAGGAACTTAGCTTTAGTAAAATAATACATTATCTCTCTTCCTCCCTCTTTCTCTCTGTCTCTGTCTCTCTCTACCCCTCTTTCTCTTTCATCCCAACTCTTTTATTCTTGGCTGGTTTCCATGTTATCTGTCCTTCTTGACCCTGGACCCTTGGCTCTTCCATCACTCTCCCTTCTCCTGGCAATCTTCACCTTTGACCTCTAACCTTTGCCTCCAGCCAAGCTATCCCGTTTGTCTCTGTCACTGCCACCACTGGCTTTGCAGACGTTTGGCGGAGCAAGGAAAGGACCATTTTGGGAAGGAACCGCTTTGGGGGAGGGTCCTGCTCTGGGAGGGAGAGAGGCTTCCCTAGGAGCAGAAGAGGAAGAGGAAGAGGATGCTGAAGAAGACGAGGAAGGAGGCTTGGCTGGAAGTGGAGGGAGGGGTGTGCCTATTGTGGTGAGTGAAAGCGATGATGCCCGCAACTTGCGTGGCCTTCTCAAGTCACCCCGCTCAGCGGAGGAGGCAGCAGCTGAGTTTGACCGCAAGCGAAAGATGGTCTCCTTCTTTGATGATGTCACCGTCTACCTCTTTGATCAGGTGAGTTATGAGGAGGTGAAGGGTGGAGAGTATGAAAGTTGATTCACAGTAGCATAAAGAAGGATTTTAAAAGTCCCATTTCCAAGCAGTGTTTCTTCTTTCATGGATTCTGGGTCTCACCTTTCTCTTATCTTCTACATCTCTTGGTTTATTTCTTCCCACCCAATTGTCCACATTTTAGATTCTCTGCCAATGCACACGACACATATTTCCTTTTGGGTCTGGCTTAATCCTAGCCATGCTGTCCTTTCATGCCTCCTTATAGAAACGGCCAATGATCTGTGGATAATAGGTTTTCTTCATCCAGCAGTTGGATGCCTTTGATCTATTCCAATAGCTGAAAGGTTTCATACATATTTGCATAATGATGACATGCAATACGAAGGCTCTTTTCTCCCTTGTAGTTTACATCAATGGGGGAAGGTCCTGAAAATCCCAGGGTTTCTTCCAGTTCACATCCTGCTAGTCTTATCACTCTTCCCACCCCACGATTTAAACAGTCAGTTGCTGAACCTTTGCATTCTGATAAATGATTTTCCTTTCTTACTTATTTGACTGAACTGTGCCTCAGTCCAGAGGGACTTTAGATGGATAATTCAAAGGGATTTTAATTCCTGTCCTTGTTTTTAAATAGGAGACACCAACCAATGAACTAAGCTCACAGGGAGCCCCTGATGGTGATGCCCCTTCTCCTGGCTCAGCTGCCGAACCTGGACTTGATGCTTTCCCACCAGCTGATGGCTTCAGTGAGTACTGGGACAAGTCAGAAATGATTCCTCTCTCTAACAGCCTTAAATGTTGAGTAGGAAACGGGCCAAACCAGCTACAGAGCCAGAATGGAAGAAGGCTGAATTATCCAGGTGCTGTTGATAAGAAAGCAGTGTATGAATAAGTTGGATTAAAAGGGTCAGGTTTCAGGAAGGAACAGGTTTGCCAAACTGATTGTCAGATATAGGAAGAGTAGACAGATGAAGGCTGGATAAAGTCCAAAAGAGGTTAAGGTTGATTTTGAAGGGAGACTGCTGAAAGCTGCAAAGGCTCAACTTGGCATGAAGACAATTTCGAGAAGAAGCAAACAAAGTTCAGAACAAAGTAAATGCAGATTGGAATCAGTGTCTCAGGCAGAAAGTTCTCCATCCATACATCCATACATCCATACATCTGTCCATCCATCTCCCACCATAATCTGTATTACATCCATGCAGCTAGAAACAGATGCAAAGTTAAGTCTAGCAGGGTGATCATCTTGGGTATCAGTCTAAAATAATGAACAAGAATCCTAGTAAAATCTTCAGACTTAAGACCGCTTGCTTCAACAGAACATCAAACTTGAATGCCAATTTTAGGATAGGAACGGGCAACATATGAGGTACTTTCTATAAGGCTGGAGGAAGCTGTTCAATGATGCTATGGCGTTACTAAAAGGACAAGACTGTGTTTGTTTGTTTGTTTGAGGGATGGGTTATTATGAGAATGAGAATGGGTGGCCTCAGGAAAACACACTGGTCCCACCCCCAGTTTTAAATGACTCAGATGTCTAATCAAACATTCTGAAATGCCACTGCTGAGATTTGTACCTTTTGCCTCTGAATGTTGGCAGTGCAACATTAAACTTAATGAATGGGCATGTCTCTTAGGGATTACTGTCTGGGGATTTTAGAAAGCTTTTAACACAGCTAAACTGATGCTTCTCAGGGCAATCTTTCCCAGCGAGTTCCAAACATGATGGAAATACCTCTCTTTAAATTCCAAGCCATCCAATTTGTATAACACCAGGATGACAGTACAGCCTGAAAATATATACTCAGCCTACTGGGCAGGTAGAAGAAAAAATACAGGATCCTGATGACAAGAATCTTGGTTTAAGGCTCCCCTTACCCCTGACTTGCCTGTAATCAGCAAAACTCCGAAGTTATTGATTTGAATATGGAGAATCTACAACAGTGTTTCTCAACTTGGCCATTTTAAGGTATGTGAACTTCAACTCTCAGAATTCCTCAGCCTGGCTGGGGAATATCTTAAAATGGCTAATGTTGAGGAACATTGATCTAGAATAATTGCTACTACTCTACTTCCCATCTTCATCTCTAAGTGTACAGCTTTGTCCACTGATGGTTGCACCATCTCTCTGTGTGTATTTTTAATGCTGCAAATCACTCTGATGTTTTACCTGAGGTGGAAAAATGGTATTAGTGAATTTACCCTTGAAAATGGGATCAGATTTCCAGGTATAAAATGATGGCCAGGTGAGATATAGTTCCATTTTATTTCTTATTGGTCAGATCCTATCTCAATTGTTGTGTTCAGTTCTGGGCACCATGCTTTTAAGAAAATTGTTTCATAGAAGGCCAATGAAGAAGACTGAAGGACAAGAAACTAAGCTGAAAAGAATCTAAGGAAGCAGAGAACTCTAAGAAGAGAAAATAAAAGGTGGACGGTGGTAGTGGAGATAAAGTAAGAGAACATGCAGTACCTGAAAGGAAATCACACAGTAGAAAAGGAAGAAGGGTTATCTATAATTCCAGAATGCAAAACTGGGAATAATGGAGTTGAGTTACAGAAAGATTGAGACTGGATGAATATTGGAAAGAAACCAGAGACACGGTTTCCTCTTGGATGTGATCAAGTGGAAATTGGTACACCCATCTCTGTCAGGCAGTGGTTTTCAAAATTGGTTTGTTAGGGCACTTTGTTCTGCTGCTGTTAAGTAGTAAGAACCGAGAAAAGACACTAAGATACTTATGTATTTTTGACCTACTAGCAGTATTTTAATTAATATTTTTACAATTATCAGTAATAGTTTGATTTCAACACAGTTAATGCAGGACTGGGCAACCTGTGTGATCTTAAGTTTCTTTTTTTGCAGAAAGTTCTTTCTGCAGTAGCTAAAACTGGGGCAGAGTTTCTCAACATTGGTTGAAATACATATGAAAATGCTAATATAAACCTTCAAATAAGAAGATTTCTTTAAATAAGGAAAACCAGGAAAACATGTAAAAATTCCTGGGTGTGACCCAGTAAATGTACAAAAATGTTAAGTCTAGCCACCAAGACTTTGTCCATTTCTAGATTTAAGTGCATTCATACAGATAACGTTTTCCTCCCAGTTTTTGCTTGGATGGATAAAATTATCTGTATCTTTCCTGGGTATGATGGTTGGGATCATTTGGTTGTCTCCAATGCAAAGATAGAGCAGAATTGCCAGTCCTCAGGTGAGCTTCACTTTTATTTCTGTCTTGCTTCATCTTTTTCTGTTGAGACTCCTGCAGAAAATACAAGTGAACTTCTCTGAAGATAAACATTATTCTTTAGCATTCTTCAATTTAAACCCATTTCATGTGTGAGTGGAAATAAATAAAGCCTTATCTTCTTAAAATGAAAATGTGCTTCAGCTAGCAGAAATGTAGGAGACATCGCATAATAATTATGCTGATGTTGGCTGATTCTTTTTTAAAAAATAATCTCCACATAGTTTATTTTTAGAACCTAATTTTATTGCCTCCATGAACGCTCAGAATCTAAAATTGTCATATTAAGGCAGATGGTGGTACACATTCTTCCTTATTCAGAAATCAATTTGCTTTGTGCTGTGGCACGGGCCCAGTAATGGAGATATATCCAATTTTTAAAAATTCTCTCCTATGTTAGGAAGTGTACCTCCCCCTATAGGACTCAAGGTACAATAAACCTAAAAACAAAATAAAAAAAAACAATTAAAAGGACAATAGATTACTAAAACAGGAGCCAAGAATGTAAATTAATAGTCTTTGTTGGAAAAATAGTGTCACAAGAGCTGAAAGTTAGGTAGATCAAAGACACAGATTATATATTACTTTCCTGCTTTCCAAAACAGAGAGGTGGCTTACCAAAGTTCTTTGGAGAAGACACACCCAATGTTTGGGTATGATACCTAGAAGTCCCTCTTCTGTTGTTGTCAAGCACATCCCCAAAACTTGGTAGAACATAAAGAGCAGGTGTTGAAGTTGAACTGTTAGCTGATTAACATGAGAAGAAATAGTTCTTCTGATCTGGTTTCTGATGTTTAGGGACATTTCATTGATTAATTGATTGATTGGTATCAAGTCAGTGCAGATTATTTTACTCGATGATCTATCCCAGGGGTCTTCAAACTCAGCCCTTTTATGACTCATGGACTTCAACTCCCAGAATTCCTCAGCCCTGATCTATCCCTAACCTGATCTTTCAGGTCTTCCAGCACCGTGCACTCATCAGCACTATAATTGAGTCCATCCACCTTATGCTGGTGGCCCTCTTCTTTCTTTTCTTTCGCTTTGCCCAACATTAGAGAGCTAAGTCTTCGCATAGTATGTCTGAAGTAGGATAATGGAACCAGGTCATTTGTGCCTTGACTAACGGATGTACAGCAACAGATAATACTTTATCCAAAATAAACTGGAGATTTCCAGAATATGTACTGGACCACTCTAGATGATGACTTTACACCTTCTGGAATTTCCAAACATAATTCAAAAGTAGTCCTATATAAAACACAATATAGTTGTCCACTTTAAATGTAAGTAGATATGAGTGATAATTCTGGGAGTTGAAGTCCACATATCGTAAAGTTGCCAAAATTTAGAAACGTTGATGTAGTACTGATAGAGAAGAATATTTATAGCTCAGGATTGAACTGTGGGGGTCCTTGGAGCTCTCTGAGCTTGGTTGTTGTCTTGTAGAAGTTTCATTACCAAACTAGGTGCTACTGTTGATGTTATCTACTTTGGTAATAAAACATCTGTAAGAAAACCACCAAGCTCAGAGGGTACCAAGTATCACTCAGTGATGTAGTAGTTTCAGTAACTGCATCATAACACACTGACCTCATCTAATTTTAATCTTCTGTTATTGTTATTGTTGTTGTTGCTATTCTTGGAGATCTGCTAAATTAAGCTAGGCAACCCTTCTAGTTACTTTACATTCAGTGCACTGTGCATACCCAGTAATTAAATTAAACATGTAATCTAAATATTATAATTACTACAAGCCTAAATCTCAGTTGAATGGAGCTTCACCACAACGGAGATGTCCTAACTCAGGGATAGGCAACCTTGGCTCTTTTATGGCTCAGGAATTCTAGGAGTTGAAGTCCACGAGTCATAAAAGAGCCAAGGTTGCCTACTCCTGTCCTAACTGTAGTCTCTCTCCTTCTCTCCAGACCAACATGTGTAGATAAGGCAGGCAATCCGTTTCTTGCATTGGGCCAATAATCAGTTGTCATAGTTGCTCATGAGATCTTGAGCTTCTCTAGACTTTATAGCTAAATGTCATTTATTAGCCTGTGCCTGAACTTGTCTTTGGTCTTTTGAAAGTCACGTGAAGCAGTGCCCTGTGCCACAAATTGTGACAAATAAATAGAGCCAGTTTGGTCTAGTGCAGGGGTAGGCAACCTTGGCTCTTTTATGACTTGTGGACTTCAACTCCCAGAATTTCTGAGCCAGCCATGCTGAGGAGAAAGCGAGAGGTTTCCATGCTTAGCCATGCTGGCTCAGGAATTCTGGGAGTTGAAGTCCACGAGTCATAAAAGAGCCAAGGTTGCCCCTGATCTAGTGATTAAGGCACCAGGCTAGCAGCTAGGAGACTATGAGTTCTAGTCCCGCCTTAGGCATGAAAGGTGGCTGGGTGATATTTGGGCCAGTCATTCTCTCTCAGCCCAACATGCCTCACAGGGTTGTTGTTGTGAGGAAAATAGGAGGAGGAAGATGTGTTGCATATGTTCATCACCTTGAGTTACTTTGTAAACATAATAAAGGTGGGATCCAAATAAATAAATAATGATGTCAGAAATTGAGCTAAATTCCCTATACAAATTCCCTTCTATAGCTAAATAGTACTTTTCCAAGTACTCATGTTTCCCAGAGACTTATTCAATGACACAAAGAGAGGCAAAGGATTTATGGAGCTTCCTATATTCAGAACACACTTTGGCATCTGTCTTCACTGTCTGACAAGTTGTCTTTGGGGCAGCCAGGCTTTAATCCTGCTTAGTTTAAGAGATGCTTTAGGAATCCTAAATTGCCCTGAGGTGACCTCCTTTGGCTTATTAGATCAAATACAGGCATCTGGAACTCCCCTTCAGTTTGATAGAGTCTACCCAGCAGATCAATGGACTGAGAGGGAAGCAGTACAAGTCCTCAAATTTCCTCCACAGGAGTAGGCAACCTTGGGTCTTTTATGACTCGTGGACTTCAACTCCCAGAATTCCTGAGCCAGCTTGGCTGGCTCAGGAATTCTGGGAGTTGAAGTCCACGAATCAGGTTGCCTACCCCTGTCCTAGCATAATGGAAGAAAGGGAAGCCAGAACTTGCAGATGATAGGAAGACTTTTTTTTTTAATACGAGTTATTGTACAAAGCATGCCAATAAAGTTTAGTTGCAGAAAGAATTTCCTCATGGTGAAATTACATGTTCTAACAGGATGTGTGTGAGCATAGATCATTAGCCAGGTGTTTGTGAAACGCATATATGTTTGTGAAAAGACTAGTTGATCTAAAGAACTAAAAGTGATTGTGCTTCCATCCCGAAATTAACTTGTCAAATGGGAGCTGCAGAGCAGAAGCACCTGATATGGAGTTGAGCAAATTGGAAAAATTAGGAAATAATGACATTAGGAAAATCTACTCATTGCTATATATTTTTTTCCTACTGATGCATCTAAGCCCTACGAAGGAAATCTTTCTGCAGCTGTCTAGTTCTTGTGCTGTCTTCTACTCAACAGTGACTCAAAGACTGGACTCATAGGATATACAGTATGGAACTTAAAGCTGGGTGAATTAAACAGAGCTGCTTTGCTCATAAAGAGCAACATGCTGTGCCCAAACAAATCAGCCAGACAATGGTCTAATACAGTGGTTCTCAACCTTTTCTTCACCACCCCATTTAAATGCCTTTTATGGCCACGGACCATGGCCATGGGACCCCCAAGACTTAACTCAAGATTTAAATCATAACATTTCTTCAAGCCTTCACAGACCCCATGTGATGACATTACACACACACACACACACACACACACACACACAGAGAGAGAGAGAGGTTGAGAACCACTGGTGTAATATAATGGCCTGGGCACACAATGTATTCTTTTAGTCTACTTCAGCATGTTATGTGGACCCAGCCAGATTAAGATTTAAACGTGACCTCATGTCAGAACTACTGATTATATTTTTATCTTCTTCTTTACTCTTGTAGAGTATAAGAGTGAACGCCAATCTAGTCCCCTTCTTACCCTCCCTCTTCTTCCTTCTCTACTCAGGTGGCAGTTTTGAGTGGGACGATGATTTCCCCCTCATGGCTCAGAACCCATCTTACGTCTCCATGGTGTCGGACCCCAGCACAGCACAGCTACACCCAGTCCTGTCTTCACCAGTGCCCATGACACCTGCCTTGCTACCATCAGCCAAGCGGGCGGAGTCCAGCCTCGTGGACACTCTCAGATTCTCTCGCTTCACCGTTTCTCCTGCCCTAGAGCCACATCGGCCTCCATCCTGTGATTCTGAATTGGGACCCACAGCTGGTAAGGGGCATAGAGGCATGCCATTCTTATCCATTATCCTACGTAGGGGAGGTTCATTACATGGGATATAGTGAGGAAGGAAAATTCAATGTGGGGTTTTGTGGAGTTTTGGTTCCAGGCCCGGTTACAGGCAGGAGTAGATGGTAGAGGAATGGCCTTTCGTATCTAAATGTATCTCCCCAAATTTCATCTTCGTATGATATTGAATTTTCACTCCCATAATTCCCAGCCAGAGAGTTGCCCAGGATTTCAGAAGAACCTAAACTGAAGAAAGTTGCTCTAAGCTAATCAAACCTTTTTTTTTTAAATTTTATTTGAATTTTTAATACATATAATACTTTCCATACATTATATATAAAACTTTAAAAAGAGAGAAAAATACCTTTAAAATAAGACCTTAGGTGTCGCTCGTCTATCTCCCCCCCCCCCGACTGCATCCGCCCTCTCAACCTTCCTTCCTTCCTTCCCTACTCCCTCTCTCCTCTCCTCTCCTCACCCCTTCCTCCCATCCAACTTCCTTCCTTCCCTCCTCCTCCCCTCTTATCCCTCTTCAGATACAGTTCAGGGGAAACACCCGAGCGGCACCTCCCTCTAAATTACTCCATCTATTTCATACTTTAATATTTCTATATATACTTAATCCCACCCCACCCCTCCCCCCCTGCCCCCCCACTTCCCAGAGCAAAATACAGGGTTATTATAAACAAAAAAAACACAATAAAACAACAACAAAAAAAATTCTATACAATAAACAAATTCATACATTACCCTTAACTCTCTCTAAACTTAAAATAATAATAACAATAATAACATAAACAAATTTACTATAAATCAAATATTATAAAAATCTATAAATAGTAATTATAACCTCAAGAAAAAATTAATCATAAAATAAATAGAACTTTAAAGTTCCTTATTTATTCTGAATATAATCTATCCACCTTCTCCACACTATAATAAATTTTTCTTGTGTATGGTCCTTTAAATAAGCAGAAATTTTTGCCATTTCCGCTAAAGTAGAAACCTTAAATGTCCATTCTTCTAAGGTAGGCAGCGAATCCTTCTTCCAATATAAACCTATAAGTAATCTTGCTGCAATTATTAAATTCAACATTAAAATAGTTTCATTAATATCTAAATCCATAAAAATACTCAGTAAAAATAGTTGAGGAGTAAACTTTATCTTCTTTTTAAAAATCTTTTGAATGTTCCACCAAATCATTATCAAAAAAGCTTTAACCTTCTTACAGGTCCACCAAACATGAAAGTAAGTTGCATCAGTACTACCACACCTCCAACATTTGGGCTGTAAGTTAGGATACATACAAGCCAATTTTTTGGGATCCAAATGCCACCTATAAAACATTTTATAAAAATTTTCCCTCAAATTTTGGGCCTGTGTAAATTTAACATTTCTAATCCAAATATTCTCCCATTGATCCAATAAGATCGGTTCCTGGATATTCTGAGCCCATTTAATCATACAATCTTTTACTAACTCTGTTTCCGAATCCAATTTTATTAACTCATCATAGATTCTTTTAATATGAGCATGATTCTGATCTTTAATCTGAACGATCAGATTTTCATCTCCTAATGTTATTCCAACTTGTCTTATCTACTGTCCACCTATCCACAATTTGTGCGTAATGAAACCATGAGTATAAAATGTTTTCTTATCTTAATACATCTAAAGATTTTAACTGCCAATCTTTACCTGACTAAATTAATAACTCCTTATACGAAATTTTATCAAAATTCATCCCCTTAGAAACACCCTCAATCACATGTCCAGGAATCCCCCAAATAGGTATTTTATAATTTAACCTATAATAATATTTCTTCCAAACTCGAAGAAAAGCATTCCTTAAAATATGTAATTTAAAAGCCCGATCAACTTTCTTATTAAAAATCAAATATGCATGCCAACCATACAGTAAATCCCATCTTTCAATAGAAAGAACATCTTTATTTGTTAAATTAAGCCAATCACTTATCAAAGTTAAAGTGGCTGCATCATAATATAATTTCAAATTGGTGCTTTAAGCCCACCTCTTTCTCGGGCATCCTTTTGATTGTATGGATGCTGTGGCCTTTCATTGAACAATGGAGTAACCATACATAGGAGCAACAGAGTAACCAAACATAGGAGAGTAACTTGAGTTTCCGGGGCCCATAAAATTGCTGCAGTTGGCAAAGCTTACAAAAGGATGATAGGTCTGTGTATGACTAATAGACGATTGGTGAAGATTATGTGTGCATCTAATTCCCTAGCACTACTGATAAAAAACAAGTATCAAATAGCTATTCTGTCTTTTTCTCCTGAAAAAAAAGGGGGGGGAGGAGAGATAAAAACATAAAAGATTGACTGGAGAAACAGGCTAAGGATATCTTTAGAAAGCTAAGATGAAATTTCAATTCTCCACATCAGTCACATCAGTCCCTAGGTCCTTGACCAAGGCCTGGCAATTGCACAATAAAATCTGTCTCATCAGCTCCCATTCTCTGATCCTGAAAAAAGCTTGTCTTCCTTTGGTATTTAATTAAGATAATAACAACAACAACAATAATAATAGTAATAATAATAAAGTTGGAAAGGACCTTGGAGGTCATCTAGTCCAACCCCCTGCTCAGGCAGGAAACCCTATACCATTTCAGACAAATGGCTGTCCAGTCTTTTCTTGAAAACTTCCAGTGTTGGAGCATTCACCACTTCTGGAGGCAGGTTGTTCCACTGGTTAATTGTTCTAACTGTCAGGAAGTTTCTCCTCAGTTCTAGGTTGCTTTTCTCCTTGATTAGTTTCCATCTGTTGCTTCTTGTCCTGCCTTCAGGCGCCTTGGAAAATAGATGGAGGAAGTCTGGAGAATTGTGGAGTTTTGGAAAAGCTATCCTCATAATGAAAGGCAGGACATTTCCAAAGCTCCTTGGACATTTTGTTATTAGAGGAACTGCAGGATTGTCCTGTTCCACAAAAGTGAATTTCACCCAGAGAATTGTTCCATTTAGCACCATTATTGTTGTAGATTAGAGAAGCATAATCTGATGTACTTGTGACATTCTAGAGTGGACCTCCAAAATGGCATTCAAAGGACAAATACAATGCTCAGCCCTAAAATATAATTTCTTCTTCTTCTTCTTCTTCTTCTTCTTCTTCTTCTTCTTCTTCTTCTTCTTCTTCTTCTTCTTCTTCTTCTTCTTCTTCTTCTTCTTCTTCTTCTTCTTCTTCTTCTTCTTCTTCTTCTTCTTCTTCTTCTTCTTCTTCTTCTTCTTCTTCTTCTTCTTCCTCCTTCTTCTTCTTCTTCTTCTTCTTCTTCCTCCTCCTCCTCCTCCTCCACCTCCTCCTCCTCCACTTCCATCTCCACCTCCTCCTTTTCTTCCTCCTCTTCCTCCTCTTCCTTAACAAGAAGTGTCTTTTTCTCTCCACCTTCCAGATGCTATTGAGAACTGAGAATCAATGGAAATTGGACAACCCCGCCACCTGTCATCTCAACATTCAGGGACAGCACCCAGTCATCCAGTTGACCTGCTGATACCAAGCTACCACACATCTGTTTTCTACAGTGGCTAGATTGACAGATGTGTGTGTTTGTGTGTATGTGCACGTATATATCTGCGTGCACAGCATGGGGCCATTACTGCTAACTACAACTTGGCATATGTGGACTTCTGCTCTCCTGCTCACTGACACATCTCTGCCTGGAGAGGGCAGAGAAGCAGAACTTTTTGTACAAACAGTTTCAGGCCTCCATATGATGAGGAAGGTATCTCCTCAGTGCTTGAGGCCCCTGCTCCGCACTGGCTTTTGAATGTATAACCCCTGTCCCCTTCCAGCCTCCCTTCCACTCTCTGATATGTTCTTTCTAAGGACCCTCTGTGCCAAATTGAGAGGGTTGGGGGGTGGGAAGGGAGGAACCAATCTTCAGAAAGTTGCCTACAACTGCTCATGAGCCCTTCTGCAATTCATCACCTGCAGTCTTGTAATATGGAACATGGCTACCAATTTAAAAGTCCTTTTGTGCCAAATGGAACTGAACAGGGCTGATGACCATCTCCATTTAACCAGCATTATATACATAAAAAAAAGATCACTGTTGAACCTCGGACAGAATTTATACTGGCAAGATGGAATAATCAAATGCTGTAGAGGGACCTTGGGTAGTGAGAGTTGTTTGGATGGGTATCCTTGGTCTGAACTCGAAGGACTGTTCACCAGTATTGTTTTGTGTATCGTCCATTCATTGATTCCTGACGTGATAAGGGAAAACAGTAAATCGGTCACATCACTCATTTGTAGGGGCCAGATAATTGATAGCCATTGACTTATTGTGGGAACTCCCTCCATATTGTCTTGACAGGTCAGTGAGCGCATTGGACTGGGAAAATCATTCCTAATTCATACTCTGTGTTGGAGATGGTTGGCTTGTATTGGGAGTGGCTGGTTCTGACTTTCTCAGTCACCCACTGATTTGTTTTAGAGGTTAATAATGGTCTTTTGGGGCCTGTTGGGATACAGTTGAAATGATGAGCACTTTCAAGGAGTGGAAAAGTCATCAGTTGTGCCAAAAACCACGGTGTGAGGATGAAATGGGTTGGACTGAAAAACACTGAAGCAATTCTATGGAGATACCTACTCTGTGGGCATTTTGAGGGGAAGCACCTCTGTCTTTATCTGCAGGACATTGTGGCCAGATGGGAGATTATAAGCAGCAGTGAAGAGTGCTTAACCCTGATGAAGGAAGAGGAAGAATGGAAGATTAGGCTTGAGCATCCAATTCTACTGGCTGATTTAACTGCGTGTCTTCCACATGTGTGTTCAATACATCTGGAAGGCACCAGTCTAAAAAGTAATACCTGTGTTGGCCAAGAATAATGGATGTTATCATTGTAACATATCTGGTGTGCTTCTTGGTGGGAAAGATGGTTTTGACAATTCTTCAGCCTGCCAATGGCATCTTATAGGTTGGTTTTGAGCCTGTAAGCAGCCAATATTGACCAAGTTGAATGAGCCCTTAGTGACTCTAAACCTTAATTAACCTTAAGGCAATAGTTTCACTTTTGATTTAGTTTATAACAGAGAAAAGTGAGTTTTCATAATTGCTCTCCTTAGTTTTAGCCATGATTAGCCAGAAAAATGGTGATGAAAGAGGGAAGTTGGCAAATTCCTAGGGGAACATGCAATAAGAATCAAAATGTTGGAGAGATGTTATATGCAATCTGGGCATGGCTTGATTTATGCGGATGGCAATTGCTAATATCCAGTCTGATTTATGTTGAAATAGTAGCTGCAATACTGTCCACTTGTTCTATAAGCTCAACAGAAAAAGAACTATTAGCTGGTTTCTTTGGAGTGCTGATGTGTTGACAAGAATTTTTTTTTTTTAGTTAGGTCCCCAAAGTCTCTAGCCGTGGACTCTGGGTATTTTACATCAGCTGTATCTTTCTTGAAGACCTTAAGGCTAGCTATCCACAGAACATTTATCCATACTGTATTCAGTGAATTATATATTTCACTAAGGAAGTCCAGGACTATCAACTAATTCTGGCTTTCACAACCTTGGGAAATTCCAGGAGTGTGGACTTCAAGTCTCAGCATTCTACAGCCAATATGACCATTGATGAGAATTCTGGGGGTTGACGTCCAAGTTCCTGGAAATCCCCAAGATTGGGAAACACTGAACTAAATAGAAAAGGTGCCTGGGAGCAAACTGTTTATAGCACCTATTTCCCAAATGGTGATTTCCAACACTGGAAACTAAGTAAACTACAAGTTTTTGAAGTCCTCACTCTATTTACTAGTCTCTAAAAAGTTTTATGGCCACTATCTATGCCTCCATCAGATGATATCCTTTGTGAGAGGTTTAAGGCAGCTTTGCCTGACTTAATGCTTTCCAGATGTGTTAGAACTACAACTCTTAGCCAGCATAGCCTGAAAATTCTGGGAACTGCAGCTCCATTAGATCTGGTAGTAGTCCCAATTAGGAGATGACGTCAAGGAAGTTTTTTCTTTCAGAGATTTTTATCCTTCTCTAAAGCAGAAGGTGCTCAGATTCCATTGCTTTTGGGATTTTTAAAAGCAGTGGGAATAAAGTAGGAAGGGTGTTGTAGGGTTACACACCAGCTTACAATGTGTTGCAGATGCTTGCTCCACTTGCCAATTGGAAGAAAGAGTTGGCTTACTGGATTTGGTTGTGTTTAACTGCCGTGCCCTTTTCAAAAGTGCCGGGTTTTTCAGTAACAACTTCATTACAAAATTAGAATCCTGAGCCTGCTCCAGGGTGTGGCAGGGGTGCACCCAGCAGGTGACAAGATCCTTCTACACTTTGGCCACAAGTGTTCTTTAAGTGCCTGTCAAATGCTTGGGCAGCATCTGTATTATCTCAAGAACATCAAGACTGGAAACTGACTGGTTTTGCATGGCATCTCCACATTTTGCCTCTTGGTGGTGGGCAGTGTGAACATTCTGATTATCTAGCTTCCATTCTTGCCATGATATCAACATTTTCTCTATGATCATGGCTTCCATCTTGGTACCATATATTCCATTTTTTATACATTCTGAGGGAAACAGAAGTTTGGGTATGATATCAATAATCCCCATTCCTGTTGCCATTTGTAGCACAGAATAAAGAAAGAAAGGGATGATCATCTTTATTGAATGCTCTGTTAAAATGGAAGAGTTTTCTTTTTTGGGGGGTGGGTGGGTGTTTTTTTGTTTATAATGAAAGTGGTATTCTTTAAAAAGACTGGTAGGAGGAATGGAAGAATAAATACACCTATGACCATTTGTCTTGTATGATTCCACTGAGGAATGATATTGAATTATGATGGGTCGACCAGTGAAATAATAATCTGAATATTTAAGGAATGGATGATTTACTAAGGTACAAAAGGATGCACTGTGGAGAGCCTGGGTAGCAGAAATAGGTGGATAAATGTTTTACAGGGTGATATTCATTAGTAGGAACATTCATTGAAAGAATATATGGGGATAGAGAAATATTTAAATAGCAAAATTATAATAGCATCATATTTTGTTACACATAAAATCCAGGGTTTTCTGCAGATTGTATAAATGGGAATGCAAATGGGGATACAGCCTAGTTCAGGGGTAGGCAACCTTGGCTCTTTTATGACTCGTGGACTCTGTGCTGGCTCAGGAATTCTTGGAGTTGAAGTCCATGAGTCATAAAAGAGCCAAGGTTGCCTACCCCTGGCCTAGTTGATGAGAGGGGAAGGGATCTTTTAACATCAGACAAGGAATTGGTAAAGCTGTAATTTGTAAGGAAAACATTATGAGGCAGGAAAACTGGTGAAGTCTATAAAGATTTTTCCAACAAAGAGCACTTTCATTCCAAAACTAAAGCTCTGGAATAAAGTTGCTTCAAGGTACCAAGAAAACATAGAAAGGCACATATTTATATTAAACTTTATTAATTTTAAAATTATGACATAGCTAACGAGACCTCAATATCTGCACAGCTGGCAATGTATGTCCCAATGCAACAATACATATTCCCCATCCCCTCTTTCATTATGCACACACAGAGACTGACATCAAATGGAATCTCATTGTTCTTTATATATTATGTCCAAGCTACACCAAACATCTAAAGTGTAGAGTTGCACAGGCTTTTTTTTTTTTAGTAAAACATAAAAATTATTTACCAATGGGTAAGAAACTATGGCATACATGTAATCACTTGATAAACCAGTTATCTTACATGGCCCAATGGAGAAGATAAAAATATAGTTAGTCCATTATTTTCCAACTTTCTAATATGGTGCAGGATGATAAAATTTCTTTACAATCAGCTTACAGTACTGTCAAAAATACAGTATGGCAACTTCACATATGATAAGTGCTATCCTGCATTCACTCTTTTTTGTTCTTTTGAATGAATCCCATATAAGCTGCTTCTTTTTACAAAAAATGTGAAAGCCATTTTGATTTTGTTTTGGTATGTTCATAATCTCCTCTGTACCCTCAAAGCAGAGTGTCTCAGTGTCAAAATTTTCCATCATCCCAATTTTCACACATCAGTTGCAGGATCTGTAAACGCTGATCTTAGATACGAACATTCTGTAACTTGAATTCATTCTTCTGGCTTTCAAGTGAAGGAGATTCAAAAATTTCCAGATGTATTTCAGCTGAAACACACATATATATGCACACACAAATATGCACAAACAGGGCAACAATCATGAGATGACTTGAGTTATTTCTAACAACAGGAAGGAAATGCAAAGATAAATGTATACTTTTTAGCCCTAGGTAAGATAAAATGAGCTGTTAATAAGACACAAGTTCCCAGCTTCAGAGATCCAGGATATGTGTTTGTGTGTATCTGTATACAGAATAAGACACACACACACACACATTTGGCAATCATATTGTTATGCAGAGAATTCTGTGCTATTGTGCTTAATCTGCAAATCTATTTCTAAACTGATCTTCAACATTTCCCCCTCTTGACATTTCATACAGTATTTGACTCTCCAAAATTCAATAATAAAACTATTTCAGAAAATAGTTTGATCTGATCGGTAATAAAAATAGGCAAAATAGATTCGTATTTCATGCTTTTGAAACAACATGCCGAATGGGAACCAGTGTAAAAGGTTCTAAGTAAAAAACCCCTTTTCTTTGTATTGAACTGTGAACAAATCTATGCAATGTCCACACCTTTTGCAACTTACAGTAAATGTTGGATTTTGGAAATACAGAGTACGGATTCAAGTCACCAACCATTTCTTTCTATGGGCCTAACATATGTGCTGACCTGTTCTTTCAATATATCTCTCATTTCTATTATAGCTAAGTTTGAACACTGTCAAGTACTGCTAGCTGGAAAAGGTAAAATGGGACAAAACTCGCTTAACAAATGTCCCACTTAATAACAGAAATTTTGGGCTCAATTGTGGTCATAAATTAAGGACTACCTGTACTGCAAAGTAAAGCAAATGTTTGTAAACAGAATCAAAGAAGAAAACTGAATGGTTCAATTCTGAACTTATAGGGATTTAGCAATTAGCAATTCAAAACAAGCCATCTAGTTAGTCTGCCTTGCCATCTTCGTTTTATTTTGTTTTACATATTAGAAAAAAATAATGAAACTCAAGTGAACTACAAGTGGAAGATGGCTTTGTAAAAACTCTATGAACCTTGTGCCTCCAAAACCCGAAATTATTCTTTCATTATGTCTGTGGAGATTCTCAGTCAATCCAGGTCATACTTTTCTCAAAGGTGCTTTTTCAAAAGGCAACTGGATTGTCTTTTCTTGAGGAAAAAAAAAGTTTTACTTTTTCCTCAAGAAAAAGTCCTATTTTTCTTCAAGGAAAAAACAATCCAGTTGCCTTTTGGAGAAAAAAAAAAAAGCAGCTTTGAGTATTCTTTCATTGGTAAAATGTCAATCTTGTTTTCTTTCCGATAACTAAGGTATTCTGATATTTTTCAGCCCTTGTTTTTTTTTAACAAATGGCAATTGCTCCAAAGCCAAAGTTTTACTATATAGTTGTGAGTTTCACCAAAGGTGGACAGCTTGTGCATTTATTTAGAAGATCGATGTTGCTTATTTATGCAACCGCATTCAAGATTAAACAGGATCAGTAAGCATGTTACTCAAATCTGTCCAGGATTCTGTAATAGCATAGCTAAGCCTGCAAGGGGGCATACTTGGATTTTTAAATGACTGGGTTCTTTGTCAGTCGGAGAGGAATGTGAGGGGCAAAAGAAAAGTGAGATGGCATTTCCTTTCCTCACTGAGAAAAATATTTCTTTCTTCAGATAATATAGCTGAATTGCTCTATTTTGGCCTTGACCAAAATGCCTGCAGTTTGGTCTGCCAGGACAAGAATACTACTGAATAACTGCCTTTATTATACATTCTGGCAATTGAAATTAAATAAACACATTTAAAAAAAAAAACAGCAACTGCCTTGCTTTAATCTACTTCTTTCTTTCATGCACAGAAGTCCTGACTTCTGGCATTTCTCTTCCTATCCCATGTTTCCTGGGGAGCAGGGGGAAATCTCTACATTTTTTTTAGACCAGGGGTCTTCAAACTTGGCCTTTTATGATTTGTAGACTTCAACTCCCAGAATTCCTCAGCCAGCATGCCTGGCTGAGGAATTTGGGAGTTGAAGTCCACAAGTCATAAAAGGGCCAAGTTTGAAGACCCCTGTTTTAGACCATTGCATATCATAGTAAGGTAAACCTCTGGTTAAATCTACAGAAAACAATATAAATTACAAAATATGTGGCCTATGTTTAATGGTAACATTTTCATAATATAGATATGCTTTTCACCCATGAGAATATCTCAACAATTGTTTGAAGAGGAATCAAAACCTATTAGCAGCATGGATCACTTTGTGGACCACAGACCCATTTCAGATTCAGAGAACCTATTTAATCATAAATCCTGGCTCCTTTTAAATCCACAATCCATGCCTTGTTAAGACAGTTAAGCTATGCCTACAATTGTGCAATGAATGTAGAGACAGCACATCAATTATCAATAGTGTTTTTGTAAAACTTACAATCTTCTACTCTTCAATGGAACTGTTCACTCATCTCCCCAGAGCTGTTTCACATTTATATGTTTAACATATGATAATTGTTTAATAGAAATGGGTGATTTCCATGCCTTAAGAGGCCAGTACAAAACTAACACCACAGTAAGACCTTTCATACTTATTCAGATCTGATGCTTTTCAATATAACCAATTCATAATCACTTCCAAGTGATTTTCCAAGTAAGCTGGACTTGTAGCTGAATAACTCAGTGATGAAATATCAGATTAGAAGTTTGAATTTGAATCAAATTTGAATTTGATTTTCCTAGATTTAACAATTCTTCCTACACTTCTCTCTTACTCTCCTAAACCAGTTTTCCCTGTCCTTTCTATTCTCAAATCAACATCTCTTAGTGCTACACCCTGAAAAGATTAGTGTGGACTTTCTATCAGAAATCCACATGCAACATGTTTATTTATGTAATGATAAGTGTAGAAGTTTAGTGGAAACTTTTGAGTTGTTAAGGAACACGAATCACCTTCAGAGGCCCACATGCGCTGAATTTCTCTTCATCTGAATGTTCTGTAACATGCCATCTACAGCTCTCTTCCGATCTCCTTTTCCTTTCAACTGACCTCTTTCCACCTGTCCCACATCCTTCACCCTTCTCCTGCCTGTTTATTCAACTGTTACACATCTGCCTCCATCACTTGCATCCAAACTCTTGTCTCCTTTCCGGCTGTTACTGTCCTCCTGCCGCTAGCTTGCCTTCCCATCCTGGAACTGCTAATACCAATGAAACCCTGAAGCCTTTTTTGCTGTGCGTCGAGACTGTGGACCTTTCCTATACCATTAGGGAGAGTGGCATGCCTGGGCCAGCCTGACGTGCGAAACCTACTATGAACCAGAAGCAGTGTATTAGGTGGGAAAGGCCACATGATGAGGGAAAGAAGGAAGAAAAGCAGGGCAGTGGGCTCTCTCCACTTTACATTGCACGTTTCACTGGATGAGTGGGGCTGAGCGGTCATTGGTCACGGTACGTTTCAGCTTAACATGAGCAAAGGGATTGATCCTGCAAGGGGAAAGGAGAGAGGCAGAGTGAGATGGGTAGGCCCAGGTTTCAGAGAGCTTTCTGAAGCTGAAAAGATAATACTGCTGTCCTTAAGGTCAACCTTCTCCAACCTAATGGCTTCCAGATGGATTAAATTCCACCCCCCACCCCCCATCATTCCTAATCAGCAGGTGTTGGAAGCTGACAATGTGTCTTGGAAAGGCTGCTGCAGACACAGATTAATGCAACAAAATCATTAACAAAAGGCCAGAGGATGGGGCAGAATAGCCTCTTTCATATCAGATGAAGGGATTTCTGTAAAGCTTCCCACATTTTATTTGTTTGTTTATTTGGCTTTCTCTTCAATTCACCAGCATTAGAATTGTTGCATAACATAGATTTTTTAAAAAAAAAAATAAATGTTTTAAGCATAAAGCACTAAACAGCTTGATGGTCAAAAGACCAGTAAAATTGGTCTAGATCAGTGGTTCTCAACCTGTGACCCACAGATCCCTGGGGGGCTGCAATGTTGTCACAGGGGGTCCGTGGAAGCTTGAAGAAATGTTATGATTTAAATCCTGAATTAAATCTTGGGGGTCCGTGGCCACAAAAGGTATTTAAAAGGGGTCTGTGTGAAGAAAAATTTGAGAACCACTGGCCTAGAAGAATCATAAGGCCTCTGGTTAATGTCTAAAGTTCCAGAGGCGGGGAATAATGGCCCCCTTATGACTTATAGACTTTAACTCCCAGAATTCCTGATCCAGCATGGCTGGTTCAGCAATTCTGGGAGTTGAAGTCCACAAGTCATAAAAGAGACATCATTCCCCACCCCTGGAACAGTGAAGAAAAATGCTAGGAGAACCTCTGTCAGCAAGCAGTTCCCTGGCTGAGCCCCCTTTCCTGAAAAATCCTTTGCTTTATAGACTAACCACTGCATGGTAGCACACCGGTTAGAAAGCAGTATTGCAGGCTAATTCTTCTGACTGCCAACTGCTAGCAGTTCAATCCTGAACAGCTCAAATTTGACTCAGTCTTCCATCCTTCTGCAGTCAGTAAAATGAGGACCCAGGTTGTTGGGGGAGGGAATATACTCTGTAAATATACCGCTTAGAGTGCTGCAAAGCACTGTGAAGCAGTATATAAATGCTATTTCTACTTGTTTATTTGTTCTGTTTGTTTAACAACTGTTCAAAGTTACAAAAGCATTGAAGCCAGTACTTGCACTTATGACCACTGCTGTATATCTACAATCACATGGTCTAAATTTGGGCACTTGGCAACCGGCATGCATTTACGATAGAACAGCATTCTAGGGTTGTGTGACTGCCATTTATGACCTTCCTGGCCAGCTTCCACAAGCAAAATCAATGGGGGAAGCCAAATGCGTTTAATGACTGCCTGAATGGCCGTCACGTGAATGATTGCCTGATTCATGTAATCATTGTAGTGGTTTGCTTAACAACAGTGGCAAAAGAGGTTGTAAAACTGGGAGCAACAAAACGACTGCCTTGCTTAACATTAGAAATTCAGGTCCCACTAGTGGTCATATGACAAGGACTACTTCTATTACAAAAAAGTGGATTATGTATTCTGGGTACTTTTGCACAAGCATAATTTTCTCTCATTATAAAGCCTCTCAATGCTTTTATTAGTTAACTGATTATAATAAAAACTACTAAAAACCAACCTACAGATACAGTATAAAACCAGCACATTCAGGACAAAAGGTTTTAAGCTGGCCTTAGATTTGTAGTGTTGGCGTATTAGTTTCACATTCTATTTTTTGCCTAGGAAATATATTTTTACACTTTGGTGGTGAGTCATAAAATCAGAATTACGGAACTAGAACCCAATCACATAATATGAATTCTGTGTTCTAAAGCACAGATTCACAAGATAATGCCAGAACAGGGCATACAAGTGATTCCACAAGTATGAAAATGAGAGATAACAGGAGGTTTCTTACCTTGAAGGAGAGGCAGATGGACTTCCAAACTCATTTGCCAACTGGAAAAGAAACGAAAAGATAAATGCAAATTTTCAACAGGGATCCTCTCTGTTCATGCACAAAATCTAGGTCCTTGCACAATGGACACTACCTACAGATGGCAATGGACAAATACAGATCCTTCCTTTCTTCCCTCCCTCCTTCCTTTTCTCATATTTCTCCCTTCATTTTTCCCTTCTCTTCCTTCCACATCTTCCTTCCATTCTCATCTTCCTTCCCTTCCCTTCCCTTCCCTTCCCTTCCCTTCCCTTCCCTTCCCTTCCCTTCCCTCCCTCCCTCCCTCCCTCCCTCCCTCCCTCCCTCCCTCCCTTCCTTCCTTCCTTCCTTCCTTCCTTCCTTCCTTCCTTCCCCCATGAAACTCACTTGTGACAGGTCAGGATTTAGCATGCTGTAAGGTCGTTGTCGAGACATACTGATACGGGCTGAAGGGCCAAACCGTAAATCATCTTCCCCATCAGGTTCAGCACTTGGAGATCCAGCTCGATCCAAATTTCCTGTGCTGTTACTGTTCAACTTGCTAAGAAGGAAACCACTAATGACAGACAAAGGACAGATGAGGATTTCTGGTAAGGGTTTCTCCCCCATTGCCTGCCTGTTTGAGACAACACACTGCTTCCTGAAGGATCTGAAGACTAGCTCCAAGCCTTCCAGATATATTACATTCATTCAACTTTTTTTTGTCAGGGGAACCTGAATGTCAAGGCATATACCTCTTTTAATTTAAGAGGGGGAGCTGCCACAAAGAAGAGGAGGGTCAGCCTATTCTCCAAAGCACCTGAAGGCAGGATAAGAAGCAATGGATGGAAACTAATCAAGGAGAGAAACAACCTGGAACTAAGAAGAAATTTCCTGGCAGAACAATTAATCAGTGGAACAACCTGCCTCCAGAAGCTATGAATGCTCCAACAGTGGAAATTTTTAAGAAGAGATTGGAGAACCATTTGTCTGAAATGATAAAGGTTTCCTGCCTGAGCAGGGGGTTGGACTAGATGACCTCCAAGGTCCCTTCCAACTCTGTGGTTCTGTTAACATGGAAAGAAAAAGGTCAATTATGTGACTGACCTGATTTTATGACCTTTTCTGTGGCAGTTGGTAAGCGAATTACTGTGGTTGTCAAACAAATCCGTGGTCAATAAGCGAACCCATAGTTCACCATGGGTGAGGCTTTGTCAAAAACAGGAAGCAAAAAGCAGTGATGTGACTGTGAGACACTGCAAATGGCTGTACCCAGTGTGGTCACAAGAAAAGTAACCCCAGGTAGGTCTGTAGGAATTTTGACTAATTGATAAGTAATCAGTCATAAGTCGAGGACAACAATCAGTTTTCCTTCCAAATTGCAAGACTGAAGTGCCAGGACTTACCTGCTAAGTAGTTTGTTAGCTCCTTCAGCTGAGGGAAAGGGTCGGGTGTAGGAAAATGGAAACCAACCTTTCCTAAAAATGTGAGAAGCAGATAGTTAAGACAGAAAGAATAGCACAAAACCTCTTTTTTGTGTTCCCCTCTCGTCTGAAGGAGGGGAAACGTCAAATTGGACCCAGTGTTAAGGTTTTTTTAAAAAAAAGATGAAATAAAATAATGAAAGGTGGAAAGCTAGAATTTAGGCGGTCTTTGTAAATCCAGAATTCTTATTCCCACTCTGCCTGAATTTTTACAGAGGAGATTCAAGTATAGTGGTTTGAATCTTGGACTAAGAGCAAAGAGAACTAGATTCAAATTCCTGCTCCACCACAGATTTCACAAAGAACTTTGGGACCAGTTGCTATTTTTCAGCCCAGAGGAAGTTATCATAAATAAACGGGTTTGGGATGATTGGATGTATGGATAGGTTAATATCAAGTCACAATCCTGATTTAGAAACTACAATAGGCTGGTTGCCACAGCTTCCTCAGCCAAAACCAAAGCACATTTTGGCTTAAGAGCAATGTGTGAACTCAGTCAAGTTTGCAATCACTTACATCCACTGACCCACCAGAGGAGGGAGAGAGGGGATGTTGCAGGTCCCCTCCTCTAAGCAAGTACATCAGGCTGGATCCAGAAGAAGGGCCTTCTCTCTGGTGGCCCCTTCCCTTTGGAAACTCATCTCCATGGAAATTAGACTGGTCCCCACTTTGATACTCTTTCACAAGACCCTGAAGACCTGGTTTTGCCAGTCGGCCTGGAGAACTCAGAGTGGAATGGAGCCCATCCAGTGACTTGTTTGATTGCTTGTTGTCACCGGGGAGGGGGAGGAGGTGTCGTTTTTACTCTTTCTAGATTGGATTTTTATTTTTTGTAAGCCACCTAGAGTCACTGAAAGAGAATAGGCGGCCATATAAATTCTCTAAATAAGTAAATAACAATCATGTTGGCCTTTTCATTTGTTTTAGCCAGGACTGCCCCACTGTGATTGGTGCTCTTTCTTATCCCTGGCAGCTATCTGGAATCTCTTAGCTGGAGAGCTATGTCTCTTTTCCAACCTTATGGGACCCTCTCCTTTAATAGGAAACCCTTTTATCTAAATGTCATGACCCACGTATTTGAGTTGCCCACTGCATCCCTGTAAGCAGAGACACACTGCCTGGAGCAGTGTTTCTCAACCTTGACAATTTTAAGGCATGTGGACTTCAACTCCCAGAATTCCACAGCCAGCATTGCTGGCTGTGGAATTCTGGGAGTTGAAGTCCACATGCCTTAAAATTGTCAAGGTTGAGAAACACTGCGGCCTGGAGGGATCCATCCTACAAATGGGAAAGAGAATACAAATAATCCTCAAGTTACAATAGTAGTGGCGCCTGACTATTACGGTCATAACAGTTGCAAAAAAAAATTGTATGACTTTTTGGCAGTGGTTGTTAAGCAAATCTCCACGGTCGTTAAGTGAATTACAGAGGTTGCTAGATGATCATTATACCAATCGCTGGTTATGGGTGTGGTTTTGCCAAAAACTGGAAGTAACTAGCAGATTTCAGCAAAATTATCGTAAAATGCGATCAAGTGACCGTGGGACAGTGCAAATGGTCATAAATGAAGCTGTGCTGCTGAGCACCCAAAATGCAGTCACGTGACCACCTGGGGGACTGACCCTTGGAATTTCAGATCTGGATTTTAAGTTCCCCCCCCCCCACTGTTTTTTGATTCTGTCCTAATTTCAGTCAGTTGCTACATGACTGGTTGTAAATTGAGGACTACCTGTAGTAATCTAGCTTTTCTAGGGCCAAGGGAACAGAGAGGTTTTCACTCACATTCTAGTTGCCTCATTTTCCCCATAATGCCAGCCGTCTTTCGCCTCAGTCACCAATAAAAGGATGACGTCTCCTTCTTGGAAGTTGAGAAGGGTGCTGTTCTCTCCGGCCGAATGTGAGAAGATTGCCTGGACTCTCGGACGTTCGGAACGTGGAGGCAGGATTGAAAGAGGATTAATGCGGGGCAGGGTCTTGTTCTCTACTGCGAGAAAGGGTGGGGAGAATAGGTGGAAATTAATGGCATTCCTGACAGGTTGGATATGTTTCTCCCCTGCTGTTTTTTGCTTAAGCAAAGTAAACTTTCAAGCAATGTTTCTCAACCTTCACAACTTGAAGATGAGTGGACTTCAACTCCCAGAATTCCCCAGCTAGCATTGCTGGCTGGGGAATTCTGGGAGTTGAAGTTCACTCATCTTTAAGTTGCCAAGGTTGAGAAATACTGTCCTTGAGCAATGTTTCCAGTCAGGTTTTAAAAGTGCCCAGGGATTATGGGATTAAAGTAAAGTGCCCAGCCAGAATGCTGGAATTACAATCTCAGAGGAAAGGAAAATACTAGATTGCTGTAGGTTGCTATAAAATACATGATTCTAGAGAGATCACATATGGGTTTTATAAACCTCTTAAACTAGCCTGCTTATAGAATTTGCTTCATCAAGCCTCGGGCCTGTATTTGGTAATATTACTCTTTCTGCTCCCAGATCAAAATTTGGCTGGATAGAATCAACTTGAAACTGGTTTTTGGAAGAATATATTGGGGGTTAATTAACCGTTAATGATTGCACCTTACTTTTGTCTCATTTTATTAGGGCAGGGGTCTCCAAACTTGGCAACTTTAAGACTTGTCAGCATGGCTGACTGAGGGATTCTGGAAACTGAAATCTACAAGTCTTATAGTTGCCAAATTTGGAGACCTCTGGATTAGGTAAGAGACACCAGTTGCATCTCCAAGTAAGAGTAACTCCATATGGGTTCTTGTCTTTCCGTCACAGAAAATGCTGGACTTCTCTTTACATTTTTGCATCTTTTCAACCAGTATCCCCAGTTCCAAAAATGGCACAGGAATGAAAAATAGGTTTTATTCTTCGTCTTGCAAAGAATAGCATATGCATTCTTCCAAAGCTCCAGTTCAGAATTTAGTGAGAACAGGATGGATCAAATGTCAAAATCCTGGGACTACAGGTTGTTGTTGACTTAGAACATTCATTTAGCAATTGTTCAAAGTTACAATGGCACTGAAAAAATGACTTATGACCGTTTTTCACATTTATGACCATTGCAACAACTCCATGGTCATGTGATCAAAGTTTGGATGCTTGGCAACTGGTTCATACTTACAACAGTTGCCATATCCTGGCATCATGTGATCCCCTTTTGCAAACTTCTGACAAGCAAAGTCAATGGGGAAGCCAGATTCACTTAACAACCGTGCTATTAACTCAACAACTGCAATGATTCATTTAACCACTGTGGCAAGAAAGGTCATAAAATGGGACAAAACTCACTTAACAACTGCCTCACTTAGCAATATAAATTTTGGGCTTAATTGTGGTCGTAAGTTGAGGACTACCTGCACTGTTAAAGGATATATTGGCTGAAAGATGGACTCAGAACAGGATGTAAATTAGAATCAATGCAGAATACCCACCTACAGTTGCCAGGCGAGTTTCCATTGACATCTTGCGTGGCATTGGCAGAGTGCAAGAGTAGCTGTCAGCAATCTTGATTTTTGAAGTGGGCTGGGTGGGGGTCAGACCTGAGGTGGTGGTGGTGAGGGACTCACTGACTGGCAGGTGATTGAAGTCACAGGATCCCCGCCCTCGATGCAAATCACCATTTAGCAGCAATGTTCCTTCCTGGATTGAAGTCCGCTATGGAAGATAAGTTAGGAATGAATAAACGCAAGGTACTGATGAGATCTCATACGGTTTTCAGAAGCATCCCTTCTTCCTTTGTTTTTCCCCTGTAGAAGAAATGCATCTTCCATGACCTAAAGGCCAGGAAGTCCCTCCTCATTCCTGCTCCAGGCTATATCAGAAGCTGCCATTTGGAGACCTCAATGGTTTTTAGAAACTCAAACCCAAACACTAAAGGCAAACGGAAAAGCTAACATCCTGTTTATCAGCCTTGACCCACAAACACTCACGTGATTTTGTCCCAATTCAAAAGGCTCTTCCAGGGTCTTGGAGACAAGGAGGGGATCCATGGCTGGAACAGAAATGCCAGCTGTGGTGTTGTTAGCTGTGAGCTTGACCAAAGCCAATGCCCGCTCAGGTAAACGAGTAGGTTGGGTGCATGATGTTTGCCAGACGGGCAGTCTGGCTGCCAACAGCTCCCACACCTGTTACAAATGAGATGATGGTGGTCTGATCATCTTTTCAGCTAGCCAAGTTATATCCTTTTATATATAAATATTTTATTAATTTTCTAGTTTTACAATCATAAGTACTTAATAAACAACATGTTGTCCTGGGTCCATTAGTAATTCAGTGGTACATATTAACTTTTTCAATCTAGGCCCAATATTACACCATCCAATGCTTTCTCTCTTCTGGTAGTACACATTTCCCCAATACAATTCTTATTATTGTTAATACATATACAATTGAATATCAACATCTTTGTTACATTTTCCTAATAATATCAATAATGTCGGTTTAAAATATCTTTTCTAACCAAAATATATCTTAATTGCATTTGTTCAATTAATATCCTGTTTTTCCTGCTTTTTTTAAAAAAAATTAATTACCCATCAGTGTTCAAAATGTCTTTTTCGCTTACAATTTCTCATAATATTATATTTGGGTAACTAAAAGCTTCCCTTATTCAAACCCTCTTAGCATTTTCATATTTCCCTTCTCATACTAAAATATATTCTAGTTATAAATCCTATCTTTCTAGTTATAATACTTCTATTTTTAACAATTATCTATTCTCAGCCAAGTTCAAACATCTGATTAATAGTATAATGCCCAAATAATGGGTCAAAATCTCTATTTTCTTCAGTCTTATTATAGCTTTCTTCCTTTCCCAACTAACTTTCCAAGTTAATGCATTTGAATCATCAAGTAATTCTTCCTCTATTTTTGTGTATATTGTTTGGAATAAGAAAGACAATTTGATTAAAGTATTTTTAGAAGGACGCTCAGCCCATTGATATTCATTAAACAGCCTCCCTCCTTCTCCAATTTCCCACAGTTCTCCTAACAGCTCTATCTTCCATTCAATCAGCTCTTCTTTCTTATCCTCAAGTGTGTTCTGAGATCTTGACAGGTAAGATAACTTTTCCATTTCCGATATTATCGCTATGTCTTCTAATTCTTTGTTTGTCTGAGTCTGTCTGTTAGTTCCTTTCTTTAGGTCCTCCATCTTTGGATCTGCTTCCTCTAATTTTCCTTCTATTTCTGGGTTGCTAGTTCCTTCTTTGTAGTCATTTTCTGAGTTTGTAGATTTAGATTAAAGAATTGTTCTTTTATCTCCTTTGTATTATTTTTAATCTCATCATGAACTAAAGCAATTGTCTCTTGTATTGATTTTAACATAGAAAGAATTTCTTTCTGAAATTCATCAGCATTTTGTTGGTATATCAAGCTGGGGATTTTGGGGACAGGTGCTAGGGATGGTTTTTTTACCACTTGAAACTAAGTATGGAACATCTATTCTTTGCTTTGAGTAGTTTTTTGCCAGGAAAAAGTCTTAAAGTTATAAAGATAGGATAGGGTCTCACCCAGTTCCATCCAAATTGTTCAAAAGTTGCTGGTTAGTGCTTATTTTCTTCGGTTGTCAGCAGCTTCTGACTGGCCACATGAATGTAGCTAGTCTTTCCCCTGCTGATTTGGAGGGCTTTCTTGGATCAAACAGAAGGGCTGCTGCCCTCCCCCGATCAGTGAAGGTCCCCTCCTTCTCCATCACCTCTTTGGGGCGACTTTCAACCCTTTATAGGGTCCCCAGCAGGACAAAATCAAACACAAAAGATGGAGCCCCATCTTTCTGTGCCTGTTATGCTGCGACGTCAAACTGGAAGTCAAGTTATACTCTTTCTGAGCGGTTTCTGGTGCTCTCTAAGCTTGGTTGTTTTCTTGCAGACAACAACCAAGTGAACAATAACCCAATCAAAGAACTGCCAAATAAGCCAACCGTAAACAACCCAACCAAAAACCCACCAAGATCACTTCCACTAACACCTACAAAGTAAGCCACTGATATATAAAAAGAGAACAAACCCCACTCCCTTCTACCACTGATGTTACCTAGTTTGGGTAATGAAATGTCTGCAAGAAAACAACCAAGCTCAGAGAGCACCAAGCCCCTCCCCCCATTTCAACCCTGAGCTACATTCTCCTTTATCTACACCCTTTCTTTCTAAAACTTGCCAACAGCAGAAAATCCATTGAGTTCTGTTAATGAACAATTGCTTCCTAGTTTGAGAAATGAAGATGTTGTCTTGGGTTCTGCTTGCCTTTGATTCCAAGTGTTGACAGGAAGTTTAGCTGCACAGTCATATGGCCTGGAAACTTAGAACAAGGAGTTAATATATCCCTTCATTTAACATTCAGCTGGAAGATATGCTTGTGTGTGTATCTGAGACAACTATGCGAAGGGAATTTTAATTTATTGGTTAAACAGGTTTTGCTGGGCTCCTGAGGAAAATTCTCCACTGAAGCTAGAATATGTTTTGGGAAGGAATCCTTCATTTGTGCTAATAGATAATCTCCTTCCATGCAACAGGAGCTACAAGAGAGGATTTTTCTTCAGCACTTCAGAAAGCAGGAAAAATTAAACCTGATGCACTCTCAGTAATTATCACCACCCCTAGCAGAAAGTATCTGTGCTATTCAAGCTGAACGAACAGATGTCCTTAACACCACATCTAATTTCTTCTTCTTTACTTTAGAGAAAGTCTATATTTCCCACCATTCCCTCTAGAACAGGGGTGTCAAACTCAATTTCACTGAGGGCCACATCAGCATTGCGGTTGCCCTCAGGGGTATGTGTGGCCAGGATGGGTGCGGCCTACTGGGTGGGCATGGATGGAGTGGGTGTGGCCTACTGGGTGGGTGTGGCCAGCTCTAAATCGTTCGCATCAAGGGTGCCTGTGGGGGCCTGGGCAGGAGTGGGACAGATCTGAGGGTTTATGGCAGAAGGGGATGGGACCAGGGCAAGTGTCCAAGCATGGTCCACTGGAGGGCCAAGGCAGCAGGGGGCCGTTCGCTCACTGTTTCCAGGATGGCTTTGCGGGCCACATGAAATCACTTTGCGGGCCGCATCTGGCCCCCTGGCCTTGTGTTTGACATGTCTGCTCTAGAAGTTCAAGCAGCAAGAAATACAATATGTTTTTTTGGTTTTCCCTCTGGGAATCAAGAACACATCTTGGGATTCTCATGTTGCTTTCCCCCTTATTTGATTCTACAAATAGTCCTTGATTTATGACCGTAATTGCAACAAAAATTCTGTTGTTAAACAAGACAGTTATTAAGTGAGTTATGCCCATTTTAGAACCTATTTTGCCATGGTTGTTAAGTGAATCACACAGTCATTAAGTGAATCCAGCTCTTCCTATTAACTTCACTTGCCAGAAGCTGGCTGGAAAGGTTGCAAATGGCGATCACGTGACCCTGGGATGCTGCAGCCATTATGAATATATGCAGGATGCAATTTTATCACCACAACCATAGAGAAGCTGTAATGATCATAAGTGTGAGAATCGGTCATAAGTCATTTTTTTCAGTCCTGCTGTAATTTTGAACAGTCACTAAATGAATGGTTGTAAGTTGAGGACCACCGGTAGTTAAACATGGGGAATATTGTACTCCCACATTGCAAGAAGAGGTATCCACAGAGATATTATCATAAGAGGCAGGATAGTGGTCACAACTGAAGTTTTTCTGACACCTTTCTTGCAAATATGGAATCACAACACACACAGGAATCCTTGTTTCAAGTTTTGCTGGAAGATGTCTAGGGCAGAGATCCCCAACCTTTTGGGCACCAGGGACCGGTTCCATGGAGAAAGGTTTTTTCCATGGACTGGAGAGTGTGTGGTTTTGTGTGCTGCCTGTATCCCATAGATGGGGCTTTGCTTGTTTGTGGGGACCGGTTGCTGGCATGCCAGGGCCCAGTACCAGTCCATGGAGACTCCTGGTCTAGGGTGAATTTGAGCTCAAAGCATATGTTAGGAGGAGAGAGGGGAGGAGGGAAAAGAGAGGCAGCTCACCTTGCTGTGGTAATTGCTGAAGTGCTTGGAAACAGCACACTGACGGTCCACCAGGAATGAGTACCGGCGCCGTTCCTCCGTCAGGGCTGCTTTGTAGCCTTCCGCCACAAACCGATCCAGCTCGCTCTGCTTGGTGCTCATGATTTCCACATACTAAGGGAGAGAGAGAGGGAGAGAGGGAGAAGGAGGGAGAGGGAGGGAGGGAGGGAGAGAGAGAGGAAGAGAGGGAGAGAGGAAGAGGGAGAGAGAGGCAGCAGGCTCAATAATGCCTACCTCTCAGAGACAAAACCATAGAAACATGCACTGGGCCAATCTTGCCTATCGTGCTGCTCTTCTGATGCGCTGAGTTTAAATTTCTAATATCTGCAGCAGAATTAAATGGTTTGGGTGGTATCAGCAGTGGTAGGATTCAGCCGGTTCATATCACTTTGTTGCCCAGGTTCAGAATGGATTTCCAGAAGCAGCATCCACACAGAGAACCGGCTGTTCACATATTTGAATCCCACCACTGGGTATCAACCTCTTTCTCTACACATTTACTAAGAGGTAAGCTCTACTAATGTGCAGATATATAGGTTTGGAGCTCTAAATAACATTTCAGCAAAGGGAACTTTGGCTGGAAATTAAATGGGACTGATTGATTTTCAAATTGTTCTCAAAAGCTTCTGCATAATTTTAAGAAGCCACCATGAGCTGAGCCTGAATCAAAGGCATCTTTACATTGGTATATCTAAATAATTTGTGTATTTTACTCAGCAGTCTTAATAAGAATTGTTGTTATTATCATTGTCAGGCCCCCTGAAAAATGCAGCAGGTTAAAATGTGCTTTATATAAGTAGAATATACCTATTATTATTGCTGTTATATTATAACTGTTTCATACAATATTCTGAAGTCCTATTACAGCCTTTCCCACATCCCAACCCCTTATCTGCAATATTTTATTGGTCGGTTATTTCAACTCCTGCAATTTGTCCTACAGGCTAAAACTGAAATATTCTATCTTATATTCAGATTTTTACATTTACCAGACGTAATTTTTCCCTATTTTTCTGTTCAAGCTTATACTGGATCCTTAGCATATTGCATGACTCACACGTATTATTATTACAAGCATATGGTTTAACAAAAAAAAAAGTCCTACATTCCCCGACATTCAGGGTCAAAGTGGCAGACTTTCAAGTTTTATTTACAAAAGCACAATTCCTTCCTTGGCAAAGAGATTCTGAAAAGTTCCTCAGAGCCTTAAACAGGATTTTCTACAACTTTTAGATGCGGTATTCTGGATTATTGTTGTAGACCAGTTATCACCATTTAGGAAAAGGTACAGTAGTCTGTCATTTTCCAGATGCATTAGATTTACCCACAATCTATGGCTGCTTCGTGCACAAATGATGATTGGAAACTGTGATCCAAAACCCCAGAAGGGTGCAAGACCCTCTGATTTCTGACACCATCCTTAAATGAGAGGTCCTCTGACTCTCTGAGCTTGTTTTCTTGCAGATGTTTTTTACCCAACTAGGTAACATCATCAGTGCACTCTGGAGCAGCAGAAGCACCGATGACATTATCTAGTTTGGGTAATGAAAGGTCTGCAAAAAAACAAAAACAAAAACAAAACAATTGAACTTAGAGAGCACCAAGGACCTTTCATGTCAACCCTGAGCTACAAATATTCTCCTTTATTGGTACCATCCTTAAAATTAAAAAAAGGATTCTCGGAAGACCATCCTAAAAGGTTTCATGGAGCTTCCGCATGTCCTGCATGTATCATTGCAATCACAAAAAAAAAAAAAAAAAAACAGGAAGGAAAAGCTCAGATTTGTGTTAAGTGCTAGATTCTCCATTATCAGCACCTTAGGCTGGCAGGCAGCGGGCAATCTCAGAAGATACGGGCAATAAAGGGTTACCCTGTGCCCCTTTATTACTGCTCTCCCCCCTCAGTTGAAGCAGGCCTTGATCCTGAAGTAATGGTTACTGTGGCAACAAGGTTGACAAAAGGAGCCCAAAGCTTGCTGTGGGGATTCCCAGGATAGGGAGGGGAGGAGGGGGGAGGGAAGATAAATAGGGGATGAAGGGCCCAGAGTGAGTCAGGGAGCCAGGAGGAAACAGTGTGAATGGAGGATGAATTCTGTCACCTTGCCAACCTGGGCACACCCGACACATACAAGCCCACACTGGTGAGTGGCCTACTTCCCGGTGTGCAGCATTTACAATACTGTGCAGTAGACCAAATTTCTGGCCTGCTTTTTGGGTTGGGTTTTTTTTTTTTTTTTTTTTTTTTAGGACTGCATCCATCCCCTTTAAGGTTTGGAGCAGAACAGTTGAGGAGTTACTGTCTGAGAAAATGGTGGTGCAAAAAGGAACACTACGGACACTTACAGGGCTCCAGCAAAGCAAATACATATAGAAATAGGGTTCTATAAATCTTTAGCACAAGAACAGTGCCTGCAAGTGTTTTGCACAAGAACAGGGCCTGCAAATGTTTTGCACAAGAACAGAGCTTGTAAATATTCTGCACGAGAACAGAGCTTGTAAATCGTTTGCACGAGAACAGTGCCTGTTCATGGACACCGAATGCAAAATTGTGTGTGCATTTGTGGGAAGGTGCGTAAAACAATCTGTGCATCAGGGTCATTTTTTTCTTTTTCACAGGTAGCCCCTCCGCAGAGCTTATCTCTTTAAGCTCCAAATGGCCACAGAATATTAAACCTTTTCAAGACCTCACGTTCTTAGTGACCCCAATCGCAGGACCAGACAGCAACACAGGGAGCGACCCAGACGACCCAGACACACATGGGAAGGGGGGGGGGAGCAACAGCTGCCAGGTTTCATTTTTACACTGAAGAAGACAGCAACTCCTAATGCACAGCTGAGAGGAAGAGGCCGCTCTGAAAGATTGCAGAAACCCAATTTTTCAAGCACTTTCCCCCTATACCATTTTTTGCGGCCAGATTGCATCCATTTGCATTTTTAGTGCCATGACAACGCAGGCCTCAAATTTTGTCAGAATTTTAAAATGCAGCATATCCTTCTAACTAGGCACAGGATATGACAAACCATACTCTTTGTACATGCGGAATTAATAAGAGTATATTTGGGGGGAAATGTGCTTATGCGCTGTCTGGGTTTTAGCATCTAATAGCATTTATTTAGCATCTGTGGCTATTCAACTCGCTCTGCTGATTTATTTTCAGGGTCAACCCACTTCCTCTTGTAAGTTTAGCTAGTGGTTATCATGTACATCGAAGTTACTCATATAGATAGTACTGCAATGGCCACTGTAAACCACAGTCTTCTGCATATGCCTTTTGTAGAATTGCTTAGCATATCCCAATCTTGTGCTCTCCAGATGTGCTGGACTCATCCTATAGTTGTTAAGCAGCATGGCCTTTTTGGCTGATGGTTATGAGTACTGAAAGCAACACATCTGCTGATTGACAGGTTGAAGAAGGCGTAGTTTTATGCTACTGTGTCATGCATTTCCTCATTGCTGATCCATATTAATGGCTGCTCTTGTGTCAAGCAGGGAAATATATGGTATGAGCATGATGCATAAAGTAAGTGAACCTACCGATACAAAGGAAAATGGTGTGGAATAAATAAAACCAGGCTGTAGTCTGTAGCGCTAACAATTATGAATCAAAAATGGTGCTTTCAGTTGGCTTGATTCACATGAACCCCACTATACCATAAATGTGTTTGGGTTGGGTTTGGTCCAGTGCATTCTATGAATGCAGCCATTTGTGACTGTAAATATGGTGTTTTTCAACCTCGGCCACTTTAAGACATGTGGACTTCAATTCCCAGAACTCCCCAGCTAGCCATGTTGGCTGGGGAATTCTGGGAGTTGAAGTCCTCACATCTTAAAGTGGCTGAGGTTGAGAAGCATTGCTGTAAATCAGTTTATGAACTGCCATAGCATCAATTAGAAAAAGTTGACCTATATTGATTTAAGCAGGAGCCATTCCAGCCTTTGGAGATGCCAAAGACTGAATTAACCTCTTAGCTGATGAACCTGTCAACTTTTTTCTTGCCATAGCATGGAATGGTGTAAGGAAGAGCTATGTTCTCACAGCTAGAATCATGTCATGGCCATAAAGTCATGAATTCAACCATAATTATCTTTGGTAGCAAGGCACAGGAAAACACCGTTGGATGTAATGCTCTACAGGTAGTCCTCAAGTAATGACCACAATCGAACCAACCCATTATGATTATTAGGGTTGTAAAGCAGATTGTTCACATGCCTGAACCAATTTTACGGCTTTTTGGGGGGTGGTTGTTAGTCATTAAGCGAACCCATTGTTCGCTATGGCACAGTTTTGCCCCCAAACACTTCAACAAAATTGTCATAAAATCAGTGGTGGGATTCAGTCAGTTTGCACCGGTTCAGCAGAACCGGTAGCTAATTTTTTGTTGACTTTGGCGAACCAGCTGAAGCACTAGCCCTTTTTCAGAAGGCCCAGGCCCAGAATGGACTTCCGGAAGTGGTGTCCATGCAAAGAACTGTTCAACGTATTTGAATCCCAACACTCCATAAGATGTGGTCACGTGACCACAGAATGTTGCAAATGGCTGTAAATGCAGCCATGTAGCTGAATAACAGAAGTACGGTCACATGTCTGGGGAGGGGGTCAACTGCCAGAACTTCAAATCTGGGTGGTAAGTCCCCTTCTTCAGGTAGGCTGTAATTTTGAATGGTTGCTAAGCAACTGGTCGTAAATACCTGTGTTGACATTTACAGGGCATGGCTTTTGATTCTCAGTTTGATGGTTAAAATAACAGTACAGATAATCCCCAAATTACGAGCGTTCACTTAGCGCTCATTCGAAGTTACGCAATAAATGTCCCCTAGTGTTTACAAGCAAGTCCCAAAATTACAAATATTGCAGCACCACAGCAGTCATTCGCCCTTATGAACGACTGTAGAGGCTCTGCAACATTCACTCTATTTCCCCCCCCCCATTCCCCACAACTCCTTTCCCCTCCCATCCTGCCACACCACTTTTCTTGCAAAGATCTGTTTCCTCATTGCTACGGTTTGTTTGCCTTTGAGGGAGAGTCGACAGAAGCTCCAGGGTGCCATAATATTGCGGGAGTTCAGGCAGAGAATGGGTGCCTGAACTCTCACGAGATCATGGACCCCAGAAACTTTCATTCTCAATGTGAAAAGTGTTTGCGGTACCCAGGGCTTTTTTTGTCACAGAATGCCCAGAACAAAGTTCTGGCACCTTTTTCGGATGGAATCTTGTAGGGTGGGCTAGGTGGGTTGTATGACGTGTGTGAGTTCCAGCACCTTTTTTTTTTTTTTCAAAAAAAGCACTGGTGGTACCTGTCTCCTCCCCCCAGCTCCTTTCCTCCACTGCCGGAACACTTTTCGCCCAAAAACCTGACGGAGACTGGAAGCTTTGTCTGCATGCAAATGGGACGCTTGGAAACGGAGCTTCTGTTTCCGTTGCATGCTTCTGTTGCATGCAAACAGAGCTTCCAGTCTTCATCATGTCTCTGTCAGATCTCCATCCGGGCGAAAAGTGTTTGAGCGCCTAGGAGATGCTTGGAATGGAGCGATTTCCTCTTGCAATGTTATTCTCCCTTTCCTTCTCCTTCAAACCTACCTGCACTTCACGATCCCCATATTTCATTGGGTTTTTACTGTTCTGGCATTTCTTGCGTAGTTTCTTCAGCTCAGCCTGACACTTTTCGACTGATTCAGCTTTGGCACGATGCTCTGCTTGGTATTTCTTCAGAGTAGCCTGGAAGTTGGGGAAATGGGGTGAATAAGTTTTGAAGTTGTAGAGCACTCCATGGTTTACCCATCAAAGCACAGATGTTTCCAAAATTACTGTTGAGCTTTGAATCCTATTTAACCTGAAGCAGATGGCCATACAAATAATTTTGACTGCTTTGTTTAGAAACTGTTCAAAGTTACAAAGGTGGGGGGGAAAAGCTTTGTGGCCAATCCTCACACTTATGATATACAGCATTCTTGGGTGACATGATTGTCATTTGTGACAAGGAGAGTTCATAGAGAATGAGAAAGTAAAATCCTAAGTGATGCTTTGCTAGTTCCAATTCCAATCCTAAGTGATGCTTTGCCAATTCACTAAGCGAGGACTACCTGAATGTTGACAAGAAAGAAAGTTGTATATAATATGGTGGGGAATAAAAATACATGCCAAATCAAGATGCTAGATTTCACAACTTGGTGTCCTCCAGACAGATCAGACTTTTAATTGACAGGGAGATTCTGAGAATTGAAATCCAATACATGTGTTGGTTGTTAGATTCGGAAAACTGGGTTCCCTGAGAAATGCTGGCTGACTTAACTGTCAGGTGCAAAGAATCAGGACCCTTTGTAAGGTTGCAGGACATTTATTCAAGCCTATCCACAAGAATCTGGTCAACACAAGTTCAACACAAAATTGGTGCCAGATAAAGGTCAATGGAATTCATGAGGGGTTGGACTTGGAAATGCTTTATGGGAATGCAAGCTGATGACATGCTTAACTCCACCCTCCTACCCACACCCCAGCTCTGTCTGTTCTTCTCCTACACTAAGAAACCCCAAATTTAAAGCTGGGCTCTCTTTAAGCCATGTTTAGTATTGGCTTACCACATTGTGTCAACATGCTTTATGGCAGTAGGCTATGCAAATTCAGCCATTATGAACTGAGTAAAATATATGATAATGAGGATGAGGTGATAGGCAACCACAGAGAGTCAAATTTGAAATTGCAGAGTGGGGAGATGCAGACAAATCTTTTCACTTACCATCAGATACTTGATATCCAGCTCCAGTTTGTGTTCCAGTTGGGATAGCATCTCGGAGTGGAAAAATTTCAGCTAAGGAGAAGGGATGGGAAAGTAGAAAAGGGCAGATGACAATCAGACAAAGGGAGATCTGTATTTCTCCCTCCCTCCCCTCTCTTCTGGGTTCCAGAAATGGCTGTAAGATATTCAGAAGGTACTGGGAAAAATGGGCCTGCAGGTCCAATCTAGGACATAAGAAGAATGTGAAGCCAGAAAAAAAGCAGGCTATTAATCTAATATGGGCAGATCTGGTGCTGGGCTAATATCACATGTGGATACTCACCGTCTCCTCTAACTGTACTTGCATCTGCCTGTGGACTTCAGCCATTTGGAACAAGGTATCACCTGAAGGCCAAGACAACTGAAGGGTTAATGCACCCAAAGAAGTCCCTCCACATTTAAAGATCTTTTTGTACCCTGTCCCAGGGTAATCTCCTTTGGAGTTAATTCCATTCCCTGAAGAAATAGCTTTCAACTGGAACCAGTAAAACCTTTCATGCTCAAGAACAGGGTTTCTTAGCCTCAGCAACTTTAATGCTGACTGAGGAATTCTGGGAGTTGAAGTCCACACAGCTTAAAGTTGCCAAGGCTGAGAAACCCTGCTCCAGAGAACTTTGGAGAAAGCTGTTTTTGCCTTGAATCAGCAACCCGCGATCTACATAGTTTACTTATGGTGCATAGAAATTAAATTTATGTAACACGGGTCCCCAACACCCAGGCCACAGCCCACTACTAAGGCCGGGGGAGAAATGGGCAAGCATGCGCATGTGAAGCTCTCTCGCAAGCAGAAGGTGTTTGTGGTTGTGTGCAAAATTCCAATTGCGTAATGATGCTTGGTGCATGAACACCCTCCACTCATGAAAGTGGAGCTTCATGCACAAGCACAAGTGCCCTCTGCTCGTGCAAATGGAGCTTCATGCGTGGGTGCAGGCACCTTTTGCTTGCGCATGAAGCTCCATTCAGGTGAGAGGAGGGCATGTGCACACAATGTTTGCACAAATGAAGCTGTGTGCGTGCCACTCACCTGGCCCCCCCACACGCCAGGCCAGGCCGGCAAGCTAGAAAGACTGGGGATCACTGATGTAATATACAGATAATCCTCAACTTACGACCATTTGTTTAATAATTGTTCAAAGTTATGATGGTGCTAAAAAAAGTGACTTATGACCAGTTTTCACACCTATGATCATTGCAGCTTTCCTGTGATCACTTGATTGCAATTGGGGCACTTGGCAACCATCTCGCATTTACATTTGAAGAATCCCAGAGCCACACGGTTGCTATTTGCGACCTTCCTTGCCAATAAGCAAAGTCAAGGGGGAGAATGGCAGGGAAGGTTGCAAATCATTATCATGCGTTTCCTTGCTTAATAACTGTGACAAAAAGATCATAAAATCAGATGACAGTCATATGATATCTCACTTAACAATCATACCACTTAACATCAAATTTTCCAGTCCCAACTGTGGTTGTAAATTGAGGATTAACTGCATAGGTAGTCTTCAATTTACGACCACAATATAGCCCAAAATTTCTGTTGCTAAGATATTTGTTAAGTGATTTTATGATCTTTCTTGCCACAATTACTGCAGTTAATAAAACAATTGTTAAGTGAATCTGGTTTCCCCATTGACCTTGCTTGTCAGAAGGTCACAAAAGGTGATCACACCACTTCTGGACACTGCAACCGTCATAAATAAGAGTCAGTTGCAAAACATCTGAATTTTGATCACGTGATTATAGGGATGCTACAATGGTGATAAATATAAAAAATGATCATAACTCATTTTTTCAGTACAGTTGTAATTTCAAATATCACTAAGTGAACTGTTGTAAGTTGAGGACTATCTGTATATTATGAACATAGGCAGGCATATCCCCACATATATTTAGGAATAACTTAAGAGACCTGCAAAAATCTAATGATTTAGAACAGCCTTTTGCAACTAGTCCCCTCCAAATGTGCTTGATATTTACAAGTCCCATCATCCACAGCTAGAGTACCAGGACTAATGTTGTACTTGTCATTTACTGATCTAGGTCCACTAGTCTGCCTACTCTTAACTTTATTTATAAAATATGTTTTAATTAAACCCATGTCATCTGCTTTATAGCAAAATGTTTGCTATAAACATAATCTGCATTCCAACAACTCCTGTGGTCCTCAACAAAACGCTGGAGGCATTCATAGAAAATAAAATGCTAAAAATCCCCAACTCCCCCAAATAACTTAAAGTAGATTACAATTAACTCCATCAACAATAACCTTGTCCTTTGACTCTACCATACTTATTGATATTTGAGGATGGGTGGGTTCTGACAATAATTAAACTTGAAAAAAAATCCCTATTTTTCTCTCAGCTGCAAATGGTATGTTTGACAACTCTTCCTCACTATAAACCTGTACAGCACAAGCAAAATTTTCCAGCTGATTCTGCTGAACACATAACTAAGTTCTTCATTTCAGTTTACCTTAAATGCATGGAATTACTTCTCTCTGGGGGTGGTTTCCATGATGCCACCAGTATAATTTGGTTGCCAAATTATAAGGATAGCCAATCACACAGTATACATATGCAAGCCAGAATGAGGGAAAGTGAACAGGTCACAAGGCCAATCTTCATAAGGTAAACCAGTCTGTCTCAACTTTGGATAACGTTAAGACATGTGGACTTCAACTCCCAGAATTCCCCAGCCAACAATACTCAGGCTATTATATCTGGGCTGCAAAAATCCAGACAGCTGTTAGATGGCCACATAGACATGCAAATAATCATCAACGTATGACTACAATTGAGCCCCAAAGTTTCATTGTTAACCAAGGCAGTTGTTAAGTGAGTTCTGCCTCATTTTATGACCTTTTTGCCACATTTAAGTCAATCACTGCAGTTGTTAAGTGAATCATGTGGTCATTAAGCAAATCTGGCATCCCCCATTGACTTTGATTCCTGGAAGATGGCTGGGAAGGTCGCAAATGATGATCAAATGACCTCAGGAAAGCGCACCTATCATAAATACGTGTCAGTTGCTAAGAGCCCGAATTCTGATAACGTGACCATGGAGATGCTGCAACAGTCCTTAGGTGTGAAAGATGGTCCTAAGTCACCTTTCAGTGACATTGTAACTTCAAATGGTCACTAAATTAATGGTTGTAAGTAGAGGACTACCTGTATTTCTTCCACCTAGTGCCTGCTTGGAATTTTTTTCCTAGATATGTAGCCTGATTGGCTAACTCTGTCCAAAGCTGTTTTAATCTTCCCCAATCTGATACCCCCCATGCCCCGCAATACACTGCCAGTGTATTTCCTTTATCAATACCAGATAAGAATTTTGGGAGCTGAAGTCCCAACACTTCAAAAGAATGGGACTTCAGGTTAGGGAAGGTTATTTGTGTTGTACTTTGTGACATTCTATAGAAAATTCTATAGAACAATAAAAGGAATTAGTGGTAAAAGGAAACTAGGCTATCAAAGAACACAGTGGCTGAACCAGTGGTGGAATTCAATCGGTTCGCACCAGTTCAGAAGAACCAGTAGCTAAATTTTGCTGAATTCGGAGAACCGGCTGAATGCCCAACGGAAATGCATGGATGCCACTTCTGGAAGTCTGTTCTAGGCCTTGGAGGTCTGGAGGAAGCCTCCTAGGTCTAGAACGGCCCACCAGAAGTGCGTGGATGCCACTTCCGGAAGTCTGTTCTAGACCTTGGAGACCCAGGCCTGCATCCAATAAGAGAACCAGTTGTTCAGGTATTTGAATTGTTGTTTTGGAAGAGACAAAACAGATCAGTCAAGAAACCTACCCAGCTCTTTGGATCCTTGGCTGTCACTGGCCAACTCACCAAGTTTCACCAAGGCATCAAAGTAGCCTTTAGCAGCAACAGTAACCCCTGTAAAGGTGAACAGGGAGTGGGAGAGAACAGATATCAAATAATGAACTTTGAATATAAAACGTTTCTCCTGCAAAGGACCAATGCTGATCTGATTCAAAGTCAGGGAGTTGGAATGGGGTATTCCCTTACCTGAGAGGGCTTTTTGATAACTTTTCCCCATGGTAACAAAATTCCTTAAACTTGGGTTGAACTGGTCCAGAATCACCTTGTCAGAATAGGGAAGAAAATAAAACATAAAATATTCTATCCTGATACAAAATTAAGCACCTTCACAATCTCCCGAAAAAGCCTGAAATGTGTTGTCCCAAAGGTGCTTTTTAAAAAGAAAACTGGACTGTTTTTGTTTTTCCTTGAAGACATTTTGCTTCTCACCCAAGAAGCTTCTTCAGTTCTGACCGAATGATAGAGAATGGAAGCATTTACATTCCTTGCAGTCGTGACTGCAAGGAGTATAAATATAAATCCTTCCATTCTCTACCATTCAGTTAGAACTGAAGAAGCTTCTTGGATGAAAAGCAAAACATCTTCAAGGAAAAACAAAGAAAGTCCAGTTGCCTTTTGAAAAAGCACATTTGGGACAACCATGACCTGGATGACTGAGAATCTCCTTAGACCTGAAATGTTTTTTTTTACTTTCCCACTAGAATCTAACAGGAATTTAAAAATATATAAACTTTGGCAAGACTGCCTTTATCAATCTCTGAGCTTGAAGGTGGATGCAGCTTTTTGGAAAAAAAAGGTCCAATATATGTACGACAACCATATTTTCTTTGAAACAATAAAGGATAAACTTGAAAAAGTGGCATATTTTAAAGAGGTTCATAATGACAAAAATGTAATTGTTTATGTTTATAAATTTGCTTTACAAATTAAATTAAGAGCAAACCCAAGAAAAATTTTACAAATTAAGAGCAAAACCAAGAAAAACTTTATAAAAAGCACATATTCTAGTCTAATATCTAAAATCAAACTATACCTGCATTTATTTTATAAATACAGTTCAATTTTTATATTTTTTACATGAATGTGAAATACTTTTAACTGCTACTATTTGTATGGAAAAACTTAAATGACCAAAATAAAGGACAAAGGTGACTTTTTGAAAAGTAAACCTAAAGGACAGCTTTGTGGGGAAAAAGAGCTCTCCTTTATAATAATGTAACGGACTTAAGGTCACTGTAAATATACATGAAAGAGAAGAAAATATGAGTTATGTGGGGAGAGATACATTGATCAGAAGTATGGAAAAGATGCAGAAGTGAGGAGAATATGTTTTTGTATGTGTATGTGTGTGTGAACCCATCTCACTTAGCAAACTTCAAAAACAGACAAAGATTTGGATAAGAGGCTATAGCAGTTCTCGGTTGGTATATTTGCCCTTTATACTACAGTGAGTTTCCAGGTATATTAAGACACAGCAACGTGTGTTTCAGCTTTCTAATTGGGTCCTAAGCAGATCTGTATCAGAGCTAATAATATATTGGCTTATGTATTATAGTATTATAATACTATAGTAGTATTGTAAAGGTGAGGATAAGGGTGAGAATCTTCTCAACTCCTCTTTTATTCTACTTCAGAAGTGGACCACATTCTTGAAAGCAAAGCTTATATATTTGGTTTGTGGGGAGGGCAATCAAGGGTTAAAATTGGAGCTTTAGGTCTTATAGCAGTGGTGGCGAACCTATGGCACGGGTGCCAGAGGCGGCACTCAGAACCCTCTCTGTGGGCACTTGCGCCGTCGCCCCAGTCCTAGGCCTTTAGCTGGGTTTTATAAAACCTTTTCACTTTAGGCCTCCACCGCCATGTGCAAAAAAAAAAAAAAAAGGTTCAGTCAATTTCAACTTCTCGTGGGAAAAAAAGATCTTGCAAAGTTGGAACTGATTGATTGAACTTTTTAGTCCCACCCAGTCTGCCATTACCACTGCAGCCACGCCCACCCAATGGGCCACGCCCACCCAATGGGCCACACCCACCTGGCACTCGACGATGCATATGTGGGTTTTGGATTGCAGTTTGGGCACTCAGCTCTAAAAGGTTCGCCATCACCGTCTTATTGGAACATACCATCCCGTAAAGCAGTGGTTCTCAACCTGTGGGTCGGGACCCCATTTGGGGTCGAACGACCATTTCACGGGGGTTGCCAAACAACGCAGTCCGCCATTTTTTCCCCTTTTCCCTTTTATTCTATTGGCTTTTGAAAGCCAATAGAATAGACTCTCTTGAATAGAGTCTAATTCTATGGCTTTCAAAAGCCAATAGGAATTGTCCAAGCTGTCTCTGCCCTGCTGAGCCCACCAAAAGTCCCATTCTGCAAACAGTGCTGCACCAGTTGAGTAGTCCTTGACTTACGACTGGTTGAGTAGTCCTCGACTTACGACCGGTTGGGGGTCGCGGCATTAAAAAGGTTGAGAACCACTGCCATAAAGCCTCATAAAAGGTGAAAAACACTGGCATTTTAAGAAGGGGAAAGAGTGCCTAACAGTTGCAAAAAGGTGTGCTGGGGTCCATGCATAGCCATAGATTATTCACCTCTCTCTCATTACTGCAGATCATGAAAGTGGTGGGTTGATGCTTAGGAGGAGTCAAAAAATGAAGATGGTACCCACAATTGTCAACCAAACCCTTGCCCTTGTTTTATGCGTGTTTGACCCCTTCCCTTCAGACATCCCTAGTGCTAGAGAGAAAAGGGAGCACTACAATAAACTACATGTGGATAGATGAAGAACAGCAGGAACAAGGATGGATGAAAGGCAGATCACTAGAGCAGGCTGAAATGCAGTGGCGGCAATGGGGAGAGAAATGGATAGATGGAGAGAAAAAGGAAGCATGATTGAAAAAATGGCAAAGGGAAGAATTTGTTTCATGGATTGTCTGCATATCTGGAAGAAAATTTGGGGGGGGGCCACATTTGTGGTAGAGTTTGGTCAGGTCTTCTATTGTAGTGCCAGAAAGCAATCTCCCATTTGTAGGGGGCCAACAGGGAGGGTGAAAAAATCCAGATGTTGGCTGTGGTCATGTGATGAACATACCACCCCTTCTTGAGGTCTCAGCCTAGCCTCTTTTTATACCTGTCCCTCACAAGGATCCAGCTGTTATTTTGACTCTTCCAAACTTTTATCTCCTCTTGAACAGGCCTGCCCACCTATATATTTGAAATTGCATCAACAGGTTGGTCAATGAGTCACAGGAACCTTTATGAGATAAGAGCACATCTGTTCAAATCCCTGGAATGCCACTGGAATGCTCTTCAGGCAGAACATTTCCTGCATGCAAAAATCCAGCCCTGCAGAGAGACCTTGTAGGTTCTTCTAGAAATGCCAATCTCTCCTTGCAGAGATACTTTCCTTAAAATTAATGCAGAGAAATGACATCCCCTCAGAAATAATACAAAAGTCAGTCAGTTCGTTCCTGCCACATGTGGCTGCATGTATAATCTGGCCTGTGTCATCACCTGTGGGGCATGTTCTTGCCTGACACTAAAAAGAAGCATCAAGGTCAAAGATAAGTCTCTGCTGGCTTCCATTCAAGGCCTCTCCTTGTCAAAGTCAACAGCTAAACCAAAAACAGTAATTATTACGAATGAAGGCAAATATACCTGTCCCAGCATAATATTGCAGGATGTAATCTGGGTTGGTTTCCAGGACTAGAGGTTTAGTCTTCTGAGTTTTTGAACTTGTGCTGGAGCCCATCCGCGGGGAACTTCCATCAGAATGTGCACAAGTCCGAAATCTTGGAAAACTAAACCTGTAGTCCCAGTGACCAACCCAGATTAGATCCTGCAATGATTAATTAATTAATAATATGTATTTATTGCTTATTAATAATTTATAATTATTAGTAGTAATTATTATTTTTAGAAGCATGTATAGTAGTCCTCAACTTATGATCAAAATTGAGCTCAAAATTTCTGTTGCTAAAGCAGGATAGTTGTGAGTTTTGCCCCATTTTATGACCTTTCTTGTTAAGTGAATTATTGTACTTAAGTTAATAACATGGTTGTTAAATGAATCTGGCTTCCTCATTGACTTTGCTTGTCAGAAAGTCGCAAATGGCGATCACATGACCCCAGGACACTGCAACCGTCATAAATATGAGTCAGTCATCAGGCGTCTGAACTTTGATCATGTGACCATGAGGTTGCTGCAACAGTCATAAGTGTGAAAAGTAGTCACAAGTCACTTTTTTCAGAGCCATTGTAACTTTGAACACTCACTAAATCAACTGCTGTAAATCGAGGGCTATCTGAATCCACAGCCCATTGTGAAACAGGGTTTGGGTGCAGATTTGGTCCAGAAAAATCAGGATGAACATCTATGTCATTCAACCAATGGGTCTAATAAAGTATCCATCTGTTCTACCCTGTTCTTCCTGTTCTGTTTTATAGGTTTCTTGTAGTTCCCATATCCTTCACCTTACTGCAAAGACTGGCATATAATATTCCCATAATGTAAGAAATATTGGTGAGTATCCACCATTACAGCCTTGGTATAAGTCTCATACCAAGTCTTGACTTTAATGCAGAGACCAGCATAAAATATCTCCATAATTTAAAAAATATTGGTGAGTATCAATATACTCCAGTTTCCCATAGGCATTACTATCCTCATGATCCCAATTCTGCAGACCTTAAAGGAGCTTTTCTCTACCCACCCTCACAAAAAGAAATGGCTTCGCCCCATGTCATGCCAAATGTGGCTTTCCTGAGTTATGGCAGCAACAAGCAGAGAGCACAGGAACCCTGGCTGATGCAAGTTGCCTTTACTGATAAGAAAATAACCCACTCAGTTGCCATCAAGATAATTAGGGAAGGGGAACCAAATGTTTCAAAGGAGGGTGAGCAACAAATGGGTTAAGTTTTCTTTTTCATCTCCAACCAAGTAGGGGGGGGGGGATTTGGCATGAAATTTCCATCATTTCCATTGGGGGAATGGGAGGGGAGCACCATTACCAAACTCCTCCACCAGAACCTAACTCAGGGGTCTTCCGACTTGGCCCTTTTATGATTTGTGGACTTCAACTCCCAGAATTCCTCAGGCAGCATGCCTGGCTGAGGAATTCTGGGAGTTGAAGTCCACAAGTCATAAAAGGGCCAAGTTTGAAGACCCCTGCCCTAACTTGTCAAGTTCCTTGTCTTTTTGTATTGATGATGATGATGATGATGATGATGATGATGATGATGATTATTATTATTATTATTATATTTTTTTCACGTGCGAGCTCAAGGAAACTTTCCTAGAGATTCCGCCGGTAGTTTCAAAGAAGGAACAGAGTCCAAAAAAATATTTGACAAAGTTTCCCCACATTTCTCCAGCCACACGCCAAAATTCGCCGCGGTTCGGGCTCAAATCATGAAGCCGAAGCAAAGACAGAAGCCTTCCCAATCGCCATTCGCCGCAACGGGCGTCCTAACCGCTACAAACTATTAAATCTATCCGTTAATAGCGGAATGAAACGGGCTTGTTGTTTTTCCGCCTCCCGTCTCTGCAAGTTCTCTGTTTGGTTTTAGTAATTAGGCAGTGGGCTGTTCACAGGAAGAAAAGGAAAAGTTACTAGCTCCTGGTATTAATTTTGCCTTGAAGTCTGGCATTTTCTCTGCACCCCAAAGATGGTACGGGGGGAGGGGGAACGGCGCAGCGGAGCTAGGGGGCTTCCTGGAACATCGTGTCCCAATTCCTTATTCGCATCTCCTGCTGCTTCTACCCCCACCTATCCTCCGGTTTTTAGGAGGCGAACAAAAGGCTGCTAAGACCGTCCAGAAAAGCCAAAATGTATGATCCAGCGCAGAACCAAGGGGGAAGGGAGGGAAGGGAAACTCGGATAACGAATTGAGTCTGGGGAGTAGGAAGGGTGTACATGGTATGCCGGGAGGCGGAAAGGAGGTAAGGGAAGGGGGGGCGGCAGGGAGGGAGCGATCGAGGGACCAGCCAAATTGCGGAGTTGGAATTAAACAGGAGAAGAGAAAGACGGAGGGAGTCGCGGAAGGGAATCCAAGGACATGGGGAAGAAGAAGAAAAAGAAGGAGAGACGGGAGGGAAAGGAAGACCGAAAGAAGTTTTGGAGAAGAACCTGTAGCAAAAGTGTACGGAGTGCGGCTCACCCGATAGACGTTTTCGGTCAGCCGGTTCACCTCCTCCGAGCGGGACATGGTGCCTGGGCGGTCGGGAAGCACCAGGGGCCTGGACGGACGGGCTGGAAAGGGGGTGGGGCGGGGGGAGAAGCAAGGGGAGGGTCTTAAAGTAGAGAACGTAAAGGAGGGGGTGAAGCAGCCGGATCCACCAGGGAGCAGAAAGTCAAAAGCTGCGCCGATCTCAGCTGTATGCTCGGCACGCCAACCACACAGAGGTTTAGGGCTGCAGACTTTATCTGAGTGTTTTGTCCTCGGAGTGGACAAGCTTTGTCTACAGCAGTGGTTCTCAACCTTCCTAATGCCGCGACCCTTTAATACAGTTCCTCATGTTGTGGTGACCCCCAACCATAAAATTATTTTCGTTGCTACTTCATAACTGTAATTTTGCTACCGTTTTGAATCGTAATGTAAATATCTGATATGCAGGGTGTATTTTCATTGTTACGAATTGAACATAATTAAAGCATAGTGATTAATCACAAAAACAATATAGCAGTGCTGGCTGGAGAAGCTTGCTCTTCCTTGCTCAAAAATGTTGGGAGGGAGGGAAGGGGAAGGAAGGAAGGAAGATTGAAGTGGAAAGGAAGGAGATGGAGAAGGAAGGAGATTGAAGGGGGAAGGAAGGAAGGAAGAAGGAAGGAAGGAGAGAGATTGAAGGGGAAGGGATGGAGATGGAAGGAAGGAAGGAAGGAAGGAAGGAAGGAAGGAAGGAAGGAAGGAAGGAAGGAAGGAAGGAAGATTGAAGGGGAAAGGAAGGAGATGGAGAAGGAAGGAGATTGAAGGAGGAAGGAAGGAGAGAGAGATTGAAGGGGAAGGGATGGAGATGGTGATGGAAGGAAGGAAGGAAGGAAGGAGAGATTGAAGGGGAAGGGAAGGAGATGGATGGATGGATGGAAGGAAGGAAGGAAGGATTGATCTTTGGAGAGTCATGTTTTCCCAGATGGTGATGAACTGCAACTCCCAGCATTCCCCACTCTTCCAGTGCTTTTTAGGGCTGCTGGGGATGGTAGTCTGGAGCCCCCCATCCTCATTCCGGCACTTCTTGCCCTCTCCCAGCCGCCCCCCCCCAGTACCTGCCCGCCCCTGCAGCCTCCTGAGCACCATTGCAGCGGAGGGATTGTGGGAGCCCCTTTCTATGCCGTGCAGCCCTTCACCGCCATGACCCTTCCCTGACTTGTCACACACGAGAGGGTCGTGGCCGGAGCGCCAGCTCCTACTCAGAAGGCACCGCTTCTCCCCTCCCGGCCCATCCAGCTGGCCTCTGACGCACATGTGGGCATCGCCCTCTTCCCCGCTGCCTGGCCGCTTCCAAGGCCCGGAGCCCAGTGAGCTGGGAAGGAGTCATTCCTGCCTGCCAGGCCCAGGGCCGCACCAGGCACCAGAGGGCCAAGGCAGCCTCCGACGGTGAGGGAGGTGGGCCGGGCGGCGCGGGGGAATCTCCGGCACAGCGCGGAGGGCGGCCAGGGGTGGAGCGCAGCCAGGCAACCAGGAGGCATGGGGACAGTCTCGGTGTTGCAGCTAAGCTCAGCCAGCAGTGGCAGCAGCAGCGGAGCAGCCCAAGCAGCTGAGCTGGCCCGGGGCAGCATCGGGGGCGCATGTCAAGCCCCTGGGCTTGCCATGAGCCGGGAGACAGAGAGGACACAGCCAGCAGCCGGCCGACATCCGCATGGCCCCCATGAGCACCGCCCGACTCCCGACAGTCAGCTGGGAGTTGGGTCCGCATCTGGACGTTGGTAGGGAACCAGCATGGCTGCTACACACCGCCCAGCTCCCAACAGCCCGCGAAGAGTCAGCCCGGCGTGCGCACATCAGCTGGGAGTTGGCCCAGCCTCCGCTTGACAGCCAGGCTCCTGAGAATCAGCTGGGAGTCAGCCCAGCTCCCGGCAGCAGCTGGGAGTCGGCATGGTCACCGCGGGATGGCACTGTGGCAGCAGGAACAGGCACTGTCGGTGGATAAGGACACCCTGGAGGCAGAGGAGCCGGCGGAGGAGGGCGGTGGCGGCCAGATAGAAGACTCGGTTCCTAAGACCATTGGAAATATGTGTTTTCCAATGGTCTTAGACGACCCCTGTGAAAGTGTGGTTCGACCCCCAAAAGGGTCGCGACCCACAGGTTGAGAACCGCTGGACTACAGAAGTAGACAACTTGGCTCCAGAAGTTGTGGATGCTCCAATACTGGAAGTTTTTAAGAAGAGATTGGACACTCAATTTGTCTGAAATGACATATAGGATTTCCTGCCTGAGCAGGGGGTTGGACTAGAACAGGGTCCCAACCCCTGGTCCATGGACCAGTACCGGGCCACAGCATGCCAGCAATCGAGCTACATAAACAAGCAAAGCCCCATCCGCGAGATGCAGGAAGCACACAAAACCACGTGGAAAAACCTCTCTCCACAGAATGGGTCCCTGGTGCCCAAAAGGTTGAGGACCTCTGGACTAGAACTCCTCCAAGATCCCTTCCAGCTCTGTTATTCTGTGATTCTGTAAGGATCTCCTGCTTGAGCAGGGGGTTGGACTAGAAGACCTCCCTTCCAACTCTGTGATTCTATGATTCTACTTGGCCTGTGAACATATAGATCAGTGGTTCTCAACCTGTGGGTCGGGACCCCATTTGGGGTCGAACGACCATTTCATGGGGGTCGCCAAACAACGCAGTCCGCCATTTTTTCCCCCTTTTCCTTAGCTGTGCTACTCCCTTTTATTCTATTGGCTTTTGAAAGCCAATAAAATAGACTCTCTTGAATAGAGTCTAATTCTATTGGCTTTCAAAAGCCAATAGGAATTGTCCAGGCTGTCTCTGCCCTGCTGAGCCTGCCAAAAGTTCCATTCTGCAAATGGTGCTGCACCAGTTGAGTAGTCCTCGACTTACGATTGGTTGAGTAGTCCTCGACTTACGACCGGTTGGGGTCACGGCATTAAAAAGGTTGAGAACCACTGGACTTATGGGAGATAATTTGGATTAGAAATGTTAGATTTACACAAGATCAAAATTTGAGGGAAATTTTTTATAAAATGTTTTACAGATGGCATTTAGATCCTAAGAAATTATCTTGTATGTATCCAAATTTACAACCCAAATGTTGGAGATATGGTTATATGGATGTGACATATTTTCATGTTTGGTAGAATTGTAAAAAGGTAAAGGCTTTTTGGATTATGATTTGGTGGAACATTCAAAAGATTTTTAAAAGGAAGATAAAGTTCACCCCTCAATTATTCTTATTGGGTATCTTTGTGGATTTAAATGACAAAGAAACTACTTTAATGTTGAATTTATTAACTGTAGTAAGGTTATTAGTAGGCTCGTATTGGAAGAAGGACTCGTTGCCTACTTTAGAAGAATGGATATTTAAAGTTTCTAACTTTGCAGAAATGGCAAAAATTTCTGCTTATTTGAAGGATCATACACAAGAAAGATATATTATTGTATGGAGAAGATGGATAGATTATATTCAGAAAAAATATGGGACTATAAAGTTTCATTTATTTTATGAGTAAATTTTATAGTAACTGTTGTAGAGATTTGTTTATATGACTTAATTTAAGGGGAGTTAAAGGTTAAGTATGATGTTTTTTTTCTCTTTTTTTCTTTTTTCTTTTTTTATATTATTGTTAACTTTCTTAATAATAACCCTGTATTCTGCTCTGGGAAGCGAGGGGAGGAGGGTTGAGGGTGGGTGGGTGAGGGGGTGGGCAATGATAATATAGTCATGGTAAACGCTTGGGCATTTCCCCTATGCTGTGTTCATGTGTGTGAGAGGGATGAGAGGGGAGGAAGGAGTAGGGAGGAAGTAGGATGGTTAGAGGAGAAGGGGAGGGGAAGAGAGTAGGAGGGGAGGAGAGAAAGAGGAGGGAAGTGGGGAAGGATTAGAGAGGGTGGACGCAACCTGGGGGGAATGGGCAGGCGGTACCAATAGTTAGGAATTTAATTGTATTTTGTATGAATAAATGGAAAATAAAAACTTTTTAATAAAAAAAAAAGGTTGAGAACCACTGATATAGATGAACGCTAGTGGCAGTCCAGATGTTTGCAGCCCGGATCTGAGAATCTTAACCCAGACATCCTGTTTGAATGAAATGGAAGGAAGCAGATCAACCACTCCCCGAATCTGTGAAGCGGGCCAGTATGTGTGCTTGAGTCCATACATAAATCAGAACAGAGCTGGAAGGGACCTTGGAGGTCTTCAAGTCCAACCCCCCACTCAAATGGGAGACCCTATACCATTTCACAGGTGACTGTCCAGTCTTTTCTTAAAAACCTCCAGTGATGAAGTACCCACTACTTCTGAAGGCAAGTTGTTCCATTGGTTAATTGTTCTCACTATTAGGAAATTTCTCCTTAATTCCAAGTTGCTTCTCTCCTTGATTAGTTTCCATCCATTGTTTCTTGTCCTTCCTTCTGGTGCTTTGCAAAATAATTTGACCCCCTCTTGTTTATGGTAGCGCCTCAAATACTGGAATATTAGTCTCATGTCACCCCTAGTCCTTCTTTTCTCTAGACTGGCCATACCCAACTCCTGCAACCATTTTTCATATGCTTTTGTCTCCAGGCCTTTAAACATCTTAGTTGCTCTTCTTTGCACTTTTCCCAAAGTCTCAACACCTTTTTTGTAACGTGACAAAAACTGGATGCAGTATTCCAGGTGTGGTCTTACTAAGGTTTTATAAAGTGATACTAACACTTCATGTGATTTTGATTCTATGCCTCTATTCATTCAACCAAGGATTGTATTAGCTTTTTTTGGCTGCTGTTGCACGCTGCTGGCTCATGTTTAAATGATCGTTCACTAGGACTCCAAAGTCCCTTTCACAGTTACTGTTTTTGAGCCAGGTTTCACCTAATCTGTACTTGTACCTTTGGTTTTTCCTGCTTAGGTGTAAAACCTTGCTTTCCTCCACATTAAAATTCATGTTGTTGGATAGGGGCCACTATTCAAGAATTTTTTTGGATTCTGAGCTTGTCTTTTGGGATGTTGGTTATTCCTGCCAGCTTAGTGTCATCTACAAATTTGATGAGTTCCCCTTCTATTCCCTCATCTATGTCATTTATGAAGATATTGAAGATTA